AACAGAGACCACCTTTTGAAGGTCCCTTGAGCGGTCGTCTTAGACAGGTTCCACTGTGTCTATTATTGTGATAAAGGGCCATACATGTACATGACAATGTCATTGTCCTGCAAGTACATGTAGTATCCACACTGAGTTCCCTACTCCTTTGTTGTCTTTGTATTTTGTCTTTGTCTCTTTCATTACCCCTATTGCTTTGTCGGGATGTGCACATAAAAGAAAAGAGAGAAAAAAGAGTAGAGACGTCGTAGAGCGAGACTGCGCACGATCGTAGCCAGGAAGAAAGCGGCTCATGCTGTCGCAGATGCAGTGCAAGTGGACGGCATGTAGTGCAGTGGTCTAGTGTGAATGCATGGCGCCGGGGACACGTGACATGTAACGACGTACCGGTATCGGTATGCATTGCAGAGTTGCACACACCAAGACCTAGTGGATAGTGCATGAGCTGAGTCTGAGTGCAACTGCCGACGCGTGGCGTCATCGTCGGGACAGCATGCATGTCATTGCAGGATGTTAGTACGGCGCAGGTTATCCCCGCCTCGTTACGATTAACAATAATGTCATTATTATATCATTATCAGTAGAATGGAAAAGTACTGCGGGTTTATCCAGAAGTGTGCGGGCCAACCAGCTGGGATAGAGGCGGCGGTGCATGCGGTGCAGCAGATTTACAATGACGAGGAGACAGATGGAGTGCTGTTGGTGGATGCTCGCAATGCATTTTAACAGCTTGAACAGAGAAGCGGCGCTACACAATGTCCAGCGGCTATGTCCTGCCCTCTCCAGCGTCATCATGAACTCCTTTCAAACGGCTGCACGTTTATTTTGTTGCAGGTGGAGGGGAATTCAAGTCGAGTGAGGGAACCACGCAGGGCGACCCCCTCTCCATGGCCTTTTACGCAGTTGCCACCATACCGATCATCACTCGTCTCCAGGAGCAACACACATCAATCCGGCAGAGCTGGTATGCGGATGATTCCAGCGGAGCAGGTAGGCTGGGACAGATTCGGTTGTGGTGGGACGAGCTGCAGGCAATTGGACGGCGATACGGATACTTCACGAACTCCGAAAAGACCCAGCTCCTCGTCAAGCCAGAGCTGGAGCAGGAAGCACGCCAAATGTTTGCCTGTTTGTGTGTGCGTGTTCGATGGAGTAAGTCCTTGTCTGTCGAAGGGTGTGTGGTTGGTGTTGACGTTGTGGTGCAAGATGTGGTCGTTGCAGGTGTGGTGGGGAGGTTTGGTGGTGGATGTCGCATGCTAGTAGGGCTTGCTTTTAACAAGGAGTCGTGAGCTAAGGGTGGGAAGCTTTGCGTGATGGAGGAGGGAACTGTGGTGAACTGGTGCAAAGAGGGGAATCCGAAGGCAGATGTGTACAGCAAGGCATTGAATTCTCTTCACTGTGTCCCACTGTTGCTGTGTGGTGTTGGAGAGGGCAAGGCTGCCATATTCGAGAACGGGTAGGATGTATGTCGTGTATGTTGTACATGTATGTTTTTGTTTTTTTTACAGAATGCACCTCCTACTGATAGACCATAACAAAGAGAGGAGAAGAAGAAGACAAAAGAAAATAATGATCGAGACAACAAAGGAGAAAGACAGACAATGTACTAGTAGGGGCTCTCAGGGAGCCTGTGCCGGTGAGGCGGGACTAGCAACGCCGACCTAGGGTCTCCGCGTTAGCGCTATCCAGCGCACCATGGACGGGATTACGAAACACATGTAAATAGATATGTGAGGGGGAGGGAGTTGATTGTGGGTATATGGGGTGTTACAGCGAGTCTGTAGCCCAATACCAGCGGCTTTGTCGTAGGTGCTGATGCACCTTGCCCTTGAACGACTGGAGGGACGTCAGGCGTGGCGGAAACTGCAGCACACTTGGGGGCAAGTATTAGTTGTTCCACTCGTCAATGATGCTGTAGGGGAAGCACCGTCGCACGTAATCAGGAGAGGAAGCCGGGAGGACGTTCTGTAGCTGAGACTCGTGGCGCACCGAGTGGTCGGACCGAGTTCGAGGACATGTTCGTGGAGGAAGCTGTGGGGGGGGGGGGGACCAGCGACGTTAGTTGCGGTGGCCCTGCCAGACACATCAGTTTGTACATAACTATAGCTGAGGGCTATAATTATGCACCTTGAGGAAGGTCTCTATCGATATAATAATACTAGCAGCACCCCAGGCCAGCGTTGCCTGGCCGAATGTGGCATGCGGGTGAAGCAAGTACATGAACAGCACACGTGCTCAGCACTTGGTGGTGGCCAGACCGCTGAAGTCCTGGTGAGGGAGGTTCTTCATGGTTGGAAGGAGAAGGAGGGACGTCTGTTACGCCTTCGGGAGGCTGGTCAGGGTTGTCCATCACCTGGTGGCGGATGAAGCGGCTCAAAAAATTCATAAACTTACGAACTAAAGTGCGATGCGCTCTTCACTGCAGATCAGATAGCAGCACCCCAGGCCGCCCAGCGTTGCCTGGCCGAATGTGGCATGCGGGTGAAGCAAGTACATGAACAGCACACGTGCTCAGCACGTGGTGGTGGCCAGACCGCTGAAGTCCTAGATCCTGGTGAGGGAGGTTCTTCATGGTTGGAAGGAGAAGGAGGGACGTATGTTACGCCTCCGGGAGGCTGGTCAGGGTTGTCCATCACCTGGTCAGCTGGTGGCGGATGAAGCGGCTCAAAAAATTCATAAACTTACGAACAAAAGTGCGATGCGCTCTTCGATCTTCACTGTGCAGATCAGATGGCGATGCAGAGTGCAGTCAGTGCAGATGTTTTGTATCCTTTTGTTGCAGATGTTTCTATTTGCAGAGAACGGTTCACGTGGTCCGCAGCGCTTGTGCGCGCGGCTGCTAGTGCTACCTATGCAGCCTAGGCTAGGTGGCTACATGATTCGAACGCTTCGCGTGCTCAGTGCTTCTGCTCGCGGCTGCTGCTGCTACTCGTAGACCTACTGATCGTAGTCGCTACCACCTACACTGTTCGCACGCTTCGGGTGCTCAGCACTTGGTGGTGGCTACACGATTCGAACGCTTCGCGTGCTCAGTGCTTCTGTGGCTGCTTCCGCTAGCTACACGATTCGCACGCTTCGCGTGCTCAGTGCTTCTGCGGCCGCGCGCCGCTAGCTACACTGTGCTCAGGGCAGCGCTGCTCCGCAGCGCTTCAGCGTGACACAAAAACACACGTCACAGGTGCCTCTTCTTTATAAGGAGCGTGACACACACACACACAGACAAACGTCACAGGTGCCTCTTCTTTATAAGTAAAGAAGATTATCGGGCCCATGGCACACTCGCCCGACTCAGACTTACATGTATCTGTTGCAGGGAAGGAGAGGAGTACTGCCTTCAATAATGAGGCACCTCAGCAGTTGGAGGTGGCGATCGCAGTGTCATCATCAGTTCTGGTAGCTAGCAGCAGCAGGTGGGCTTGAATTTTTTTTTAATACTATCAACGAGGAGCAGCAGGCAACCCTCGTTTCACAATGGTGATTGCATAATCACATGGCAAAACAACAAAAATGCAACCCCATTCTACAGTGCTATGATGTGTGTGTCTCGGGGGGGAGGGGCGATAACTGTAGTATAGAACTGTGTACATAATTATGCGTGTGCAGACATAATGATGATGGACAATGGGCTGCTGGTAACCCGCGTCATGCGAGAGCCTGTGGTACTGGTCATCAGCTTCTCCTAAACAGTCTGTGGGATATCTACAGGTGGCCGACAACCTAACCATCCTCAACTGGTTAAGATTCTGAGATTTTAGCCGGCTTTCTAAGTAACTATGGCAAGATAATGCTGCTCGCTAATAATAGCCTGTGTTGACCTTGAATTCTTCTTATCATCTTTCCGATCATGTTAGCTGGTTTAGATTGGCCTACCTAGTACCTGCATGTACGGTACCATGGGAGTTTGTGACCGAAATCATCCTGAGTCTTCAAAGTAGTTGCTGGTGCCTGGTGGGCTGGTGCTCACTGTGCATCGGCCTAGTACTGTGGAACGGGTATTTTTAGCGACGTAAAAACCCTAGCGAATTTAGCGATCGACTCATTTTCGCTAAAGTTTCAAGTCGCTAATCCGCTGAGACATTAGTAGTGCACTGGTGATCCGTGACTCGGCGTGAGTAAAATCGCTGCAAATCGCTAGAATAAAACGTCGCTAACCGGTTGACAATGGGAAAACGCAAAAATTACCCATTCTACAGTATAGAGACCAGCCATCTGCGGTAGCATACTGTAAGTCTACAGATTTTCGCACACACACAATTCCCCTACAAATTCTCTGGGCGTTTATAAAATTTCGGCCTCCCAGGTCTGGAACACATTTCGGCCGCATTGAAATTTCAGCCTTTTCTGCTACTGCCTGTACACACTGTCACACGGAGCTTTGCAAGAAAACAATTCCAGACAAAAAAGCCCAGGCCTTAAAGAGCCGAAAATAATTGAATACGCGTCGAATTTTTGTTGGCACGAGGGAAACATGGATGCAGTGAATGGGATTTCGGTCTTTGACCACTTTGTGGTGGGTCTGATCTACTGACCTCCCACCGCTTAGGAGCTGCATCTGCGCCTTGATCCAAGAGGGTGGTGGCGTTCCTGCGGATGCGGAAAACTGGGCCTTTGGCCGAGTCTCACGCGAACCGTGAATTAATTTTTATTTTTTTATTTTTTATAGTAGTGCAACAAGTATGATGTAGCTAATTCGGCTAGGCATGTGGTGTCGCGTCAATGAACAGTCCACCCATGATCCGATGATCAGCCCAAACTGGTCCAGAGATTGTGAGGTCCCCGAAGGCAGATGCCACATCAGCATCTCCTCTGAGGAGAGAGATATACAGAGAGCGGAGTCCTCTGGTTCGATAGAGTGCTCAATGCAGAAGCAGAGCAGTAACACGAGTCACAGAGTACGACTCGCCTGGATTGCTGTAACTGGTTGTATCTGGCATGAAACTATTAGTATTAGCTACAACAATCCAGACGCGTGGTACTCTGTGACTCGCAGGAGAGAGATATACATGTACCGTGATGTATGTATACACTAGGTAACGACCCGTTGCTTGGCTTGACGAGGGCTTCAGAATGGGAACATGGCACCTGCAGAACTGGCTGTTCCTGAACTTGCTGTGTGTGTGGCCACATTACGCTGGTATGGCACATACTGCCTAGCCCTGCAAGAAAACACAACACCAACGTCGCTTTATTCCAGGAGATATGCCGAAGACATCCCGGCGAAGACTTTCCACACAATAGCAACACACATACACACACATGCAGCATCAACGCGTACACATTCCGTACAAAGAAAAGCACGACGTCGTGTTGCAATGCACCAACAGCTGTAACTGAACCTCTAACCCTGTCTTCCGTGTTTTGCAGGAGTTCAATCAATCGAGAGGGAGATAGATAGATGGATTGATTGATAGATAGAGAGATTGATGGGTGGATGGATGGATTGATGGATTGATGGATAAAATAATGCATGGATAAATAGAGAGAGGAGTAGGAAGAGGCGGAGGAGGAGGAGGAGGAGGAGGAGGAGGAGGAGGAGGAAGAGGAGGAGGAGGGAGGGAGAGAGAGAGAGAGAGAGAGAGAGAGAGAAAGAGAGAGAGAAGTTGGAAAGAGTGTGGTTAATGGAGAACTAGGATCACACACTGACCATCGAACTCAGAACCAACACTGCACGCTCACCTTCGACTGGCTGAGACGGTTCTAGCCTTGGATACGTGCCGTCGCTTGATTGCTTCCAGTCGCCGATGTACAGACATGATGGTATTGCTAGCAGTCGGGTGGGTAGCAGAGAGCCAATACACATACATGCATATGTACATAGAAAATGGATAGATTGATGTAACTTTGGATGCCATGCTTTTTTCAACTGCAGTCATAATCCAAGATGAAAAATATCCCCCTCCCCTGATCTCTTGCAGCAAGACACTTTTTAATTGTGATTCCAACATTTTTTCTATCCTACCAATGCACTTTTTTTTCCGATTTACCCCAATCCTCACCCCTCAGCAAAAATAGGCAATGGCCTCAAACAAATTAACTCACTTTAGCTCGGTCACGTCAGCCAGCAGCACTTCAAGTGTGTTATGAACACTGGGTGTCTGAGCGCTAGAATAGCACGAAAAATGGGAAAAACCCACGATGATCCACATAGGAAACAAAAGGCAAATCAGAATCAATTCCAATCTAGACTTTCATGCCTATATGGGAAAAAATTCAGCAACTGCCGCTACTTTTCTAAAACTAAACCAAACCATAGGCCATTTGCTCAAAAACACAGCTTATTTCGTAACCAAATGCATTTCAGTTCCAACAGCGGGAAGGCTGTGAGTGACTCCTGGCATTCTATTATTACAGGGTGCGACAGAGCTCTCGGCCATTGAAGAAAATGTTGAGTCACCTCCACCATTAAACTGCGCTCTTTAGCCGACTAGACCCTCCTGCACACAACCATCACCATTGCGAGGACACTTCCGTAGACGATATTGATAAACTCCTTCAGACAGCTGTTTCGCTAATACATAGCTCATCGGTGAAGGTAGATGTTGAATGAAAATATAGACCAAACTGCTATTATATAGGGGGTTTCCACATACAAAACTGGCATAGCTGAGGTGATAACGCGGGAAAAAGAAAAGTGTGAAGTACTGTTGACGCGCATGGGACATGCATGCAGCGTCGGAAATTCGGCGCGGAAAATCAATCACTATTCAATGCAGAAATAACGTGCCAGAATCAGAGTACTATGTAGCTAGTGAGAGTCTGTGTACTAGTATTGCAGTTGTCCGAGCGCCATGAAGGCCTGCGAACGCAGAATTTCCGACGCTGCATGCATGTCCCATGCGCGTCAACAGTACTTCACACTTTTCTTTTTCCCGCGTTATCACCTCAGCTATGCCAGTTTTGTATGTGGAAACCCCCTATATAATAGCAGTTTGGTCTATATTTTTTAATCATTCAACATCTACCTTCACTGATGAGCTATGTATTAGCGAAACAGCTGTCTGAAGGAGTTTATCAATATCGTCTACGGAAGTGTCCTCGCAATGGTGATGGTTGTGTGCAGGAGGGTCTAGTCGGCTAAAGAGCGCAGTTTAATGGTGGAGGTGACTCAACATTTTCCTGGCATTCTCTTTAAATTAAAACTTGTCTGCATAAAATGTGTCGTTGTGATTTGCACTAGTAAAAGGGAAGGGAAGGAAAAGGCTGAGGAAAAAATCGTCTGTCATCACCAGGACTCAAACCAGGGTCCTTTGCTATAGGTCCACGGAGCTCTGCCGCTATGTTATGATCGGTATGATTTGTCTTTAACCGCTCGCCTACGCATTAACTGACTATTCAATGACCAGTGGGCTGTTCACATCAGTATGCAGAACGAAGCAACATTATGTGATGGTTTGTGTTTTCAACAAAAAGCAATTTCTCCCTAGCTCCAGACTACCCACCACCACCACCACCACCACCGCTGTCGCCATTGCCATCGCAACCAGCACCACCACCACCACCACCATCAGCATCAGCACCACCACCATCAGCACCAGCACCCCCACCGCCACCCCACCACCACCACCGCCACCAGCAGCAGCTGCCCATGCGGTCTTGCTTGTTTAACGCTCTTACAATGAATGACCACAACTACAAGTCATGTAGTTGCTGGCTTACCTTAGGTGCTCGGGCTTGACGGAATTCAGTGATTCCAGTACAGCATCCAGGCATTCACCCATCACAGAACAACATTGGCCACTCTGGGTGCAGTGCTCTGCCAATGATGTTGCCACTGGCGATGCATCTATCAGTGGAGGTGCTGCGTTAGCCGGTGAGCTCTTCCATTTTGCTTCGGTTGCCTTCGACATGTCCTCAGCTTGATTCGAACACGCTGGCTTCGCGAGCCCCGGAGACGCACCGTTCGGTGATAAAGGATCTTCAGTGGCTGGCTCTGGGACTGCTGCTTGCGACTGGATGGGAATAATCTTGCGATGTGGCTAATCAGATCAACAGGTAAAATGAAATGGGAAACTGCCTTACTCTAGGTAAGAGACTTAGTAATTAGAAAAGTTTTATGAAATATGCGATGTGTGATGTCAGGGGTGTCACACTCGGTACGATCAGTACGACCATGGCCGTACCACTTTTCATCCAGTACGGTATGATCCGCCCTGAGCGCCTGTGGAGCGCTAAAAATGTGCCCCGGGGGCCGGAAAAATCCGTTATGATTTCCCCCGGTGACACCCCTGACCCCGGTCGTACCACTCTCCACTGCCCCGTGACCATGGCATACCTGCGAAGTACTGAGAGTGCTTTTTCTGGATCGCCATGGCAAAATCGCGGGATTTGCCATATTATGTCATATTTTTACCAAAAAATCCTTTTTCAACTTTGATGGCACCAACATTAATGTTCGATAGATGATTGATGGTGATCATCGGATCACACTTACACATACTCTAGACTCAAAAACGGAGGTTTTTCAGAGACTGCTCATGGAAGGAGCACTAGTAGATCCACTGGTACTGCAGGCTACGGCGGTCCGGAATCAATAAGGACAACTACTGGCCTGTGACAAGTCATTTGAAGTGCTCCAAGTACAATATCAAGCTTGTTTCTTGTACAGTGAATTTCGGGATAATCGACAGGAATTTCGGGATCGCAGGAGTTCATCCAAAATTACGGGTTAATCCCGAAAAAATCTGGATACTTGGCAGGTATGCCACGGTGACGCCCCCAGATGTGTCTGGTGTGCTGGCAAATAGAGCGGGAAAGATTTGTACTGATGGTCATTGGTACTTGTCTAAAGGTTTGCATAAATCGGCGTCTTCTGCTGAATGACACGCAAGCACAAACAGGCACGCACACACATTTGACCTTTGACCTTTTGATGCCCATCGCCAGAGACGATGATAGCGATGTTGCAGCAGAAGCCAAAGCAACTTGTGCTGGGATTGCACCATTCAACAGCTTGCATGGCTGAAGAAATGACCACCACTATTCAGCCTGGTCTACGCCACACAGCTAGAAGTGGTTTTTTTTGGCCAGTGAATTCTTACTGTTTGGTCTTTTCATTTTTTCCGACATATACATCACACCACATACTCCGGCATACACTGGCTGTTGGTAACCACCCAGGATAATGAAAGAAAAGTCAGGAGGAGACTGAGAAAGAGAAGAAAGAGACTTGTGCGACTATAATAGTCGGGAATTGAATCTGCACCCTCTCGATTGGAAATCACTGCACATACCACAACACCATATGGGACACACACACACACACATAGACACACACACAGACACACACACACGTGCACACACACACACACACACACACACACACACACACACACATGCACACACATGTACACACATTCACACACATTCACACACATACACACACACACACACACACACACACACACACACACACACCGGGAGGGCTGCACTGCTCTTTAGCAACAGACAGTTGAATTACCTTTGTGAACGTCTGCTGACTTGAATTCGGTGAAGTAGAGATAGCCCTTGCCTCATTGTCATTCACTATGTCAGCACTCCCTTCCACTTTATGCTTAGCAATTAAAGATTGTGGCTGGGCAGTACTGGATGCAGGGCAGTTTGTATCCGTTGAAGAAGTCTCGCTTGGAGCACCAACAGTTGATACTGATTCTGAGACAGTTGCATTCACAATGGCCGCCAAAGGATCTGGAGCCTGATTTTCTCTGGGTTCACTACTGGCTGTTGCGAGACAACCGGATGAATCCACTTCAGCAGCGTGCCGCAGCGGTGCAGTGTCACCGCCATCACTAGCTGCTTGCTCTCCTTGCCCTTCTGTTGGTACAGCACCATGTGGCACAGTGGCGACATGCCGATTACCCTTCTGCAGTGTCCTCGTGTCCTTGTTGGGATCTTGCATTCCGGGGGAGAGCAACACTGTAGCGTGTTCTGATTCGACGGCATCTGGCTTGTCGCGGCCGGCGGTCTCCTGATCTGCTAGAACCACTGAAAGGCCTGGCTCTTCAACGGCCATCAGGCTAGGATCACTTCCAGTGGTGTTCTTCGTTCTCGAGCCATCTGAGTTTTCAGTGCTGGGTGGAATGTCACCGTGGACAGGAATGGCTCGATGGTTGCTGGGAATGGATAGTTTCGGACTGTTGCCCGCCAGTGAGACAGACAGTCGTGAGGGTATGTGACCCTGAGTCTTGGGCACTGTGGCAGCCTCCAGGTTTCCAAGTGGCTGGCTGGCTGGCGCTGATGTCTTGTTCTCATGATCACATGCAATAGCGTTGACATCATCACATCTCGGACGGTCAATGCCATCTGGACCATGCTCCGTGTGTGTGATAAGCGACTGAGAAGGCTGTGTCTGCTGTGGCTCCACCAGCTCTGTTTCCTTGGACGGGTCAGTTGCATCACTTCCCTTTTGCTCAGTCGAGGAAGGCACGGTGGGTGAAATACTGGCAGGTGCTTGATCTTGATGATCAGGTGAGTTATCGGTCTCCATGGCTTCACTGTTGTCCAGGTCATCGGGGCAGTTGTCGACAATGGGGCGCTTGCATGGACGTTCAGCTGTTCTATTGCGCTCACGGCTCTGAACGACTGCTTGCGGTGCGTCACCAAGACTGGCCACGTTGTGCTCACAGGCTGTAGGTGTAGCTGCGACAGCTGGCTTGCTCTCACTCAAACTTGTCTTAATGCTACACACCCCCATTGCTATGGCTGCTGCATCCTTGAGGACTTCTACGTTGGTGAGATCTGACAGTGGATGCGGTGGTGTGGCAGGCTGTTCAGCAAGTGTCGAGGTTCCCTACCAAATACAGCATAACAAGAAAAACATCTGATTTTAACTTCATCCAAGTCCCGACACAGTGGCGGATCCAGGGGGGATTCTGCGGAACCCCCTATAATTAGCAAACGTACATGTACGAATCACATCCTAGATGATGACATCCTACGAATCACATCCTAGATGAATGAGCGACTAGACTCACTCACTTTCTGTCTGGAGAACGGAGGAGCAAACTGGCGTCCAGAAACGAGTGATTTGCTGGCAGCGGTGGCACGGTTGTTGCACTCTCGCTTTGCGATGACACGAACTGTCTTCATGATTTTCCTGCCGCTGACTGATGGTCGACTCTCTGCTACAGGTTTTGCCGAATTGCTGCAGGTAGATCTACTAGCTTCCGCAACCTCAACACTCTCACTAGCATTGGAATTTGGATCGAGGGATTTCTTTTCTTGGCAAGAGGCCCGAGCTGCTCCAGCGGATATCCGCTTACTGGCGCGTCCCATGCTGAGGTCTGCTGATGTAGCAAGTGATCAGTTTCGTCCTACTTCCACTGAGTCTGTCACAATACCACACTCTAGAGTGGTACTGAATGGTGGTACAAGTCGGTCTCGGGTACCTTGGCTGCGAATGTCTTCTAAGCAGTAGTTACAGTGTTTGAAGGTTGTGAGCTACCGATACTGGTGGAAGTAAAGAAATACTCGCCCAGCGTAATCTCCCCTGCTCTTCATATTTCTCGAAATGACGACAGTCGACAAATGCAACCAGATAGGAAGAGAGTCGAGATGTCGAATGCCAATCAGGTCCAACGCAAGCAGTAACATACTGTAGCGTAGATCTTCTCTTATACCAATAATCTTTATTTCTCTTGTTACCAAGGAATGCCTGGGCCTGGGCTTACATTATTTTAGATCAAGGATTTCAGGTCGGTTTTCTCTGGCCTGGCTAGTAAGGGCTCATTTCGATGCAGAGATCGCAACCTTTGCACCCGGTACTTGCACTTTGAACTCGCGGCATTCAGGCCTTTCAGGACCAACGGCTTCGAAATGAAGAGTCTACATTTGTAGTCGAGACCCCGAATCTGTGCATCAATCAGTCATTGGCATACCTCATCAGGGAGTCGTCAAATACCTGACGAGTGACGACTCCATGATTGGCATAAAATGATAAAGTGACATAAAGCCATAATTATAAAATTGCATAAACCCAATGGCCAATGACATGCATTGCTATTCTTGGTGTGATGGCGAGTAGCAGCAGTGATGAAGTGATGCCTGCTGTATTTCGCAAATCCAAAGGGAGCTTCTTCCCAGTAGCAAGGCACCGCGAAGAGAGAGGGAGGAAGACAGTAAAAGGTATGTGAATGCGTGTAGCTTTATCATTATTCTTTTGCTGGAGTATTCAACGGAACGGGCCTAGCTATGACATGTTTATGGCCTTGTTTAATACAGCAGGGTGGCCAAGGAGTAGGCACTGCACTGTACTACAAGGCAGCTGACAGCTGGCGAAATGCAGGCATGGTATCCTGGGATCATTATGACTAGAACAATGTCACAGGCTAGTTTTAATCAGCACCAAGAAATGAAAGAGTAAAAGAGGACAGGCTGAGGACATAACTGGGGGTGGGGAGGGAGAGAGAGAGAGAGAGAGAGAGAGAGAGAGAGAGAGAGAGAGAGAGAGAGAGAGAGAGAGAGAGAGAGAGAGAGAGAGAGAGAGAGAGAGAGAGAGAGAGAGAGACAGACAGAGACAGAGAGAGAGAGAGAGAGAGAGAGAGAGAGAGAGAGAGAGAGAGAGAGAAAGAGAGAGAGAGAGAGAGAGAGAGAGAGAGAGAGAGAGAGAGGGGGAGGGAGGGAGGGAGGGAGGGAGGGAGAGAGAGAGAGAGAGAGAGAGGCTGGCCTCTGGAATGTCTGGATCGGGCGGTACTGTGGGTAGAACCATTGTGAGTTCTAGCCTTCTAGGGTAGTGAAGTCTACAGAAGATTTGGGAGATGAGGAGACTGCTGAGGGCCCTTGAAGTGAGGGGTAGGCTTAGTGGATGGAAATGATGACAACGCAAAATGCACGAAAAGGGTACTACAATGATTCTGTCATGTACTAGCTTGTTCTACTCAGTTCTGGAACTAGTTCAAGTAGTGGGGATCTGCCAACCGCGGAAGGTTGTAGTAAGGTCACTGTTTCCGAACACAGTGTCCTCCACCTTGTTTCATGCTGTCAATCTAACGATTGCGTGAACTATAACAAGGTTTATCTAATACTGGTTTTTAACCAGTGTTAGGTTATTATCATGCCAAGTCCCTACTACATGTAGTAGAAGCCGATGTGTCCTGATTCTGATTCTGAGGCAATCCTGCATAGCACTTATTAGCAGTCCAGTACCGGTAGCTTGGACTTAAAGGTCACTAGGTGTACATAACACCACTGACTGTTCAGGTTGCACTCTTTGCTCCTGACCTTAGTCCTGCCGCGCGCGCCATGGACACTGTCACTCCTGGCGCGAAATCCACATAGCAAATGAATAGTTGAGCAGCATGATGTGAATTTTTGCAGAGCGAACGTTCGCGCGAATTTTCGTTTGACGTCACGAAAAGCGAAACTTCGTGCGAACGTTCGCAGTTTTGAACGCGAAAGTAACTAATTACTTAGTTGCAGGAAACGCGAAACAAACTTTCGCAGTAATTTTCGCTCTTTGTGGACCGCTGGTCAGCCTGGTGCACGGTGAGCGACCCTCAATCTTCATGTTTGTGCTGGATCTCTACTCTTGGCTTGGTCCGCGAGTGCTAGCTTTCCGATACTTTTGGCAGCCCGTGTTGTTTCATCTTTTCTTGGAGCGAGAAACATGCAAACGTTCGCAGTAATGTTCGCTCTTTGGGTTTACCGACCATTCACCGAATGACAATTCACCGAAAGACATTTCACCGAAAGACACTTCACCGACTTCACTCATTCGAGGCACGACCACCTCTGGAATTCCTCAGAGGAATTGCACACAACCTGACCTTCAACCTTGTTGAGTGATTAGCTGGAATTGCCACATTTTCGCTGCTTGTCTATTGTTCCTCATTGATCTCCTCACCTCTGTACACAAATGAAGACCGCCTCGATAGGCTTAAAATGGCCTCTGGGGAATCCTTGAAATAATTATATTAAAAAATTCAAAATTCTTCAACGTTGTGGAGTGATTGCAACATTTTCGATGCTTGTCTATTGTTCTTCATTGATCTGCTCACCTCTGTACACAAATGGAGACCGCCTCGATAGGCCTCTGGGGAATCCTTGAAATATATTTAAAAATTCAAAATTCTCTCCGTCCTTCTTTATTTTTCTTTCTTTCGGTGAAATGTCTGTTCGGCGAATTGGCCGCTCGGTGAACTGTCATTCTGTGAGTTGTGCATTCGGTGAAATGGGCATTCTGTGAACTGGGTATTCGGTGAGCTGTCGTTCGGTGAGCTGTCAGTCGGTGAACTGTCGCTCGGTGAATTGTCGTTCGGTGATATGTCGGGACACCTTGTGGACTGTTCGTGCGCGGTGAGCCACCCTCAATCCTCATGTTTGTGCTTGATCTCTACTCATGGCTTGGCTTGCTTTCCTATACTTGTGGCAGCCCGTGTTGCTTCATCTCCGGAACCATCCCCGATCTCCTGCCTGCTCGTCTTCTCACTGCTCAGAGTCGGTTACATCAACGCGCGATGCCTTTCTGAATTTCAGGTGTTGATGCGCCAGATTACGGCAAAAGCCAACCCGTTTGTCTGTGAGTCTCCGGCTATGGACAAGGTAGTCAAAGAGCTCTCGTCTCAGGCCATGACTCAGGGTGCCGTCACTCGACAAAATATTCGGATGAAGACCACTTCTCAAACAAGCGAGTGCACGCGAAAATTCCTGGGAGCGAAAAACATGCAAAACACAAATTTCGCGCGAACGTTCGCAATAGTTTTCGCAACCCGGAACGCGAAAATCATTCATTGCGAACGTTCGCTCTGCAAAACCTCTCTACAATTTTTTGTAATGTCAAATAATTAATGGTGACGATCACGTACGAGGCTGTCCAATGCGCTTGCATCTGAGCTGATACGAGCGATCCTTGTGATCTGCTGAGCTGATCTGAGCGAATCCGCCATGCATGCCGCATGAGGCTGTCACAATGGGCCGGCGCCTGACCGGAGGTTTCGGTATTTTACTTCTTTGCTGGCGCCATGGCTCTGTCACGCGTGCACGGGTAGTTCCTGCATGCACTGATCTGACGCATGTTGCACTGAGCTGCATGCACTCCGCGATCCGTCCCATCTCATCATCCGCCTCACGCATGCATGCCATGCCCAACGAAACGGATGATGGGATCGACGCTCCAGCAGCGCAAGCGGACCATGCCACTGCATGCAGTCCTCGCTCGTTGAAGTCTGCAACCATCAGATCGTGTGTCAAGGGCGGGTCTGGGGCCTGTGTGGGGGGGGGGGGGCCTAGCCTGGCGACGGACGTACATGTAGACATGCGTGTACAAACATACGTTTCACATGCCGATATCTCGAGCCTCGATCGTGTGTTTTTCGCTGGATGTGTACTCTACACTGTACTCTATCAGTCTATGTAATGAGCCTATGCCGTCGCCATCCAATGTGGCAATGATCCAGCGACGGTCGTCCACTGTCGTACTGACTCTGTACGTCTGTGCCGCGGCCAGGTGCCCCGGGGTCACGATCGCTGCCTCAAATAATTATCCCCTCCGACAGACCAATCTACATAATCAACTAGCACATCACTACAATACAAAAGACGAAGCGCAGTTCTGTAAAGCGAGAGTTTCGTTTGCTCGTGATCGAAAGTAGCTCTAGTTTCTCGCTAGAGGCAGATGCGGCAGTTGTTGTTTGATTTTATTAGCCAGCAACGTTTCTTTTCCATGTATACGGGATTCCGAGAGGTCATTCATTTTTGGATAATCTTCCACCACCCATAGAGTCCCGGATTCGAGTGGGCAGCGAGCTAGTAAGTAGTTGAACGGGACAAATCACAGTACATGTACGTCTGTCTCTCTCCGCAAACAAGTCTTCTTCGATCGAGCGCCCACACTGATTGGAGCAAGCACAGTTGGGTGCCGCGGCTATTCCGTTGAGCAGCTCTGTCAGCGAAGAAAGGAAAACATTCCCGTGACACTAGCCCGGAGGATCCAGTCATAGCCTGTTCACACTGTCCGCGCCAGTTCTGGGCAGTGGCACTAGATCAGCTACCACCCGTATACTACAGTATACCTACCCTACTCTTCACTTGAGCGTGGATGACCGGTCGATCGCTCCTCTTCGTGGGACGATCAGTACGACTCACTCTCGTAGATCGATCTACTGACCGCGATCAGCAGCGTGAGGCAGTAGATGACTGGATCGCTAGCGGGTGAACACGCATTGTCAGGTCACCGTGCTCACTGCACTCATAACTGCATCAGCCAAGTAAGGACAACTATTTTTTTATACTTTTTTTCGTGCCTTGCTTCTAGGCTGGGAAGTACTAGTACAGTTGAACATCGATTATCCGACCACCTCTGGGCAGACAACTGTCAGGCGGTGTTCAGATAAGGCAAATGTTCCGGATAAGAAAACACACTGTAAATACATGTACATGTACATTGTAAATAGAATAGAGTGCTACTTTTCTAAATTTTGGTATTTTTTGAATGGCTCACTACATGCACAGTGCGTACTCTACGGCACGTGCACCCAAAAAAACTGTTACGGATAGTCAATGTGCGGATAATCGATGTTCAACTGTACACGATTGCAGTCACGCTACTGTAACATAATCATTTAGCGCCGAAGACGAGCAGCCGAAGTACACCCAAGCTAGAAAGGCATGCATGTGATTGACTTGCTTATTTGGGTGTTCTTTGGCTGATGAAAGAAGGCAGCTCAATCCACTTTAGAGGTTAATATTATTTAAAATACTACTTGGTCCGCCCAGTTAAAATTGGCGCTTATCTTCACACTTGTCTCAGGAAAGAAATACGAATATTTGAAAGCAAGCCACGATCACAAAGCACTATATACATGATTATTTACATGTCAGTAAGCAACTCAGTCGAAAATTCAAGCAAGTTACACATCCTCCTCGCCACTATCGTCGCTGGAGGAAGAGCTCAAAACGTACGATCCGGACAGTTGCTGCACGGGTCGTTTCATAGCTTGTTCCACTTCTCCTCGCCTCGAATCACGCTCAAAGGCAGTGCGTGCCTGTCACCTTCCCATCAGAAGCTGAGTGAGACTGCCCGCATGTTGGCTGTAAGCGTTATCCCCGTTCGTCGCAATAATGCGACTTTGTTTGAGACAAAAAGGCAACGCCATATCATCCTTTTTTCAAATCGCCTCTTGCGCTTGTCGTACTTGCAGATCAGCACCCGTACCCACGCGAGCCGTTGGTGCTTGTACATGCAACGCAGTGATAGCTTCCGCTTGATGTAGCACCTGTGCGTACTGCACCGACAACGCCGTGTACCAGGCTTTTCGGCTAGTTTCCTGAAAGTCCTTTGCACGAGTGTTTCTCTCAGGACTTGGTGTTTCCTTTGATTAGCTCCTTTGCCTTGTCCTCTGTGAGCTTCAAAGTGTGGCCGCCGGATTGGTCTCACTTACTGGAGACATCGACATGAGCTGCAGTTTCTTCGTCAGCGATTTGCTGGTGATAGCCCTTCACTAGGCGCTGTACTGTGCAAGCACTGAAATTCAAGCTCGCGAAGCGCTTTTTCAGCTTTTCTATACCTCCCCGGGGTAAACAATCCTTGCCATCAGACAGCTGGAAGTAGACAGAAACTGTATTCTCCTCTCTGAAATGCGAACATCCTGACCTATTTTACGAACTCGAGCGGAGGTTGCAGTGTTTTCTTGCGCTGACGGAAGTGTTCGTCGGCGGCAGCTCCGTCAAAAAGACTCAAACGAACCGATCGCAACTTCTGTGTTGGTTTGTGCTGCCATGTCGTCGGATGCAATGGTCAATGGTTATGTTCGGATGGTGAATCGGTGGTTCCATGCCGTCTGGCACAGGCAGAACACCAAAAAACCAAGTGAGAAGATAAGCGCCAATTTTAACTGGGCGGACCAAGTAGTAGACTGTTCTAGAGAAGAAGTGCTGTTTTTCTGTTGCTCTTTAGCTTGCATGGATGCCAGACATGAGTTCCTTATGGAAAATACTGGTGCATTTTGGTGTACGAATGGCCAGTTGAAAGTACTGAAAGTAGAACAATGCAATTTTCCGAATGAGGCGCCATACACACAGCATCGACCTTCCTCCTCCTTCCTAAATCCTTTCTTTTTAAAAAGGTAGCAGCCTGGATGTAAATTTCATATGGCATTCAATTGACCATAACTTTGGTATCTATCAATGGATTTGAGTGAAATTTTCACCACACACTCCTGGCACTATGCTGGCCCTCTGGTCATTATTTCAAAGTTCTTGCGCCTCACTGACAGGCTTTCCAGGCCGGAAAAACTCAAAATTCCGGCATAGTGCCACGTTGTGCGAGTCACCCAAGAGCCAAATTAATGCATTTACAATTTTTTCACATTTTCTTGCCCATTCTGTCCGTGCGCGGGATCCAAACCTAAAATAAGTCCACAAGCAGCCATGGGTGGTGGGATAGGGCCCCTCAACGTGGCCCTGGAATCTGTCACAAGGGCACGAGTGGGCGTTGTCTCACAGATTCCCACAGACGCAAGTCAATTTTTGATTTTTTTAGGTTTAGGGCGTGCTACGAGGTCGTACCTTTGATACAACATCCAGTGCTGGGACGTCCACAGCAAGCCATTTCCACAGCGCTGCAAGCCGAATCCAGGATACCCTCAAAAATCGGCAAAGACTACCACTCACGTTCCACTACTGCCTAGTACTGAATCCTACCTGACTTCTTGACACGACTCAAACTTGCCAGTCACTAAATCAACGTCAACTACAGTAATCAAGCCACATATCTGCAACGTCATGAGGGTGCTGGCAAAAGTCCTGCTGCGCGGCGGCGGGCAAGCCCGCCGCCGTGCAGCCCAATACGTGGCTAAAAAAAACGTGATTTTTTGGACTTGGAGCAAAATTCTGCACACTTTCGCGTGTTTCCATGATACGACAAGTTGCGCACGGTCTGCTCACATTCAAATACAGTGCTGCCAACAAATGACAGCGTGCAACAAATAAATCTTTCCTTGCAAGGGCACATTTTTGGCCATAACTCTTGAACGGCTGGTCAGATCGAGACAAGATTTTCAGAGATTTTGCAGCTATTCATGCTCTTTCAACTGATGTAGCACTCGATATGAATTTACAAATTCCATTTTTCAGGGATTTTACGACCAGGCTGCCCCCTTAACCCTTTCCGTGCTAATGACATCTATAGACGTCATGCGCGCTGTATGCCAAACGACTAATGACGTCTATAGACGTCAGGAGATTTGCACAGTACAGCGCAGTGCATAGATCAGTGTACAAACTTTGGTAACTCCGTCAATAATAAGTCTATCGCGACAATCGATACACCGTTCGTTTGAAAGGTATTGAGCTCAGCTTTCCAGCGATATAAAGCTCTTTGCGACAGGAGAAAGATTGACGGAGCGGCGATGGTGTGAACACGAAATTCACGGCACTTAGCGATCGTGAATTTTTTGTTCATGCGTTCGCAGTTTTCTGTTGTTTGCCAGGGGATTTCCCTTTGGCACAGCGCATGCGTAATGGACACCAGCGGAAACACGTGGATCTCAGCTTTGCAGCACAGTTTGAATCGTGAAAATCAGCTGACCTGGAGCAAAAAACTTAAAAAGAATGTGAGATCGAGTTCCTGTGCCTTTCCGAGGCATCGTGAGGTAGCTTCAAGAAGACGTAGAAGTTGCACCGCTGTGCATATTGAGTTGAGAGCTACCAGGATGGATTCGCTTGGTCCTGATCTTTCCAACAAGCCCAGGGTTATGAAAATCCATCAAGGTCAACTGAATTGAGAGAAAAATTCGCTCGGGCCTGTGCGCGAAAACGACACCAGGAAAGTCAGTGCGCTGGGAAGGCAGTTTGCTGGAGTAAAAGGGGCCAGCACGGAAGGGTTAAAGGGGAAGTTAAGGCTAAAATCAAAATTTCACCAGTTGTAGTCTTCGGGATGCTGAGTCGAATGGTCGTGGTCCGAGGAAGCTGAGACGCTCCCTTCCTACTTTAATCCCAATCGAACTTGCGGCATTCCACCGAAACTGGGTGACTGCGCCCTATTAGATGGGGATTTGTATGCAAAATGTCTTTAACCCTTTCCGTGCTGGCCCCTTTTACTCCAGCAAACTGACTTTCCAGCGCACCGACTCTCCTGGTGTCGTTTTCGCTCACATGTCCGAACGAATTTTTCTCTCAGTTCAGTTTGCCTGGATGGATTTTCATCATCCTGGGCTTGTTGGAAAGATCAGGACCAAGCGAATCCATCCTGGTAGCTCTCAACTCAATATGCATGGCGGTGCAACTTCTATGTCCTGTTGAAACTACTTCACGATGCCTCGGAAAGGCACAGCAACTCGATCTCACATTCTTTTTCGGTTTCTTGTTCCAGGTCAGCCGATTTTCACTATTCAAACTGCGCTGCAAAGCTGAGATCCACGTGCTTTTGCTGGTGTCCATTACGCATGCGCTGCACTAAAGGGAAATCCCCTGGCACGCAACAGAAAACTGCGAACGCCCGAACAAAAAAAACTCACGATCGCTCAGTGCCGTGAATTTTGTGTTCACACCGTCGCCGCTCCGTCAATCTTTCTCCTATCGTGAAGAACTTTATATTGCTGGAAAGCTGAGCTCAATACCTTTCCAACGGTGTATCGATTGTCGCGATAGACTGATTTTTGACAGAGTTACGAAAGTTTGTACACTGATCTATGCACAGCGATATACTGCGCAAATCTCATGACGTCTATAGACGTCATTAGTCGTTTGGCGTACAGTGCGCATGACGTCTATAGACGTCATTAGCACGGAAAGGGTTAAAAGCGCCATTTCGTTCTTATAAAAGCACGGATGACCGCGATTGGCCCCTATGTTGTAGTCTTTTGGACGCTGAGTCGACTGGTTTTGGTCCGAAGAGGCTGCGATGCAGCGTTCGGCCCTTATTCCCAATGAACATGCTTCAACAAGCGGTCACGTGCTCCTGCGTGCCCAAGTCACCTGGTCACCGCGCTAGCAGGCGACAACTTTCACGCCAAGGTTCAAATCGAGTTCAACTCGAGTAACAGGACTGCACCCAAAAAAGGTCAAACAGGCTAGTAAGTTGCACCCTGCAGGCACGGTGACCAGGTGACTGGTGTACGCAGGAGCACGTGACCGCTTGTTCAAGCATGTTCAAGCATGTTCGATTGGGAATAAGGGCCGAACGCTGCATCGCAGCCTTTTCAAAACCAGTCGACTCAGCGTCCAAAAGACTACAACACATGAGCCAATCGCGGTCATCCGTGCTTTTATAAGAACGAAATGGCGCTTTAAGTGACATTTTGCATACAAATCCCCATCTAGTAGGGCGCAGTCACCCAGTTTCGGTGGAAGTGCGTGAGTTCGATTGGGATTAAAGTAGGAAGGGAGCGTCCCAGCTTCCTCGGACCACGACCATTCGACTCAGCACCCCGAAGACTACAACTGGTGAAAATTTGATTTTTAGCCTTAACTTCCCCTTTAAAGGGGAAAGTATACCCTTTCACTTGCCACAACTGTACTTTCTATTTGAAGTATACATACCTGTTAACCATGGACTGCTTCTGGCTAGATTACCTCTTGTGCAATCACTGGTGTTAGTGAAGCTTATGTCGGATCCACTCTAATTTAGGCTGCGTTTACACGACAACGCTGGGGGGGGGGGGGGGGGTGAAAAAGCAACGAAATCCTTTCGGATGCATGGTTCATTTACACGGTACGCGGAGCAAAACGTAAAAGTTGTACACCAAAACGGAAGAAAACCAAAACGCTGGCCAAGGTGGAAGAATTTGAAAACGAAAATGTTATGCTGGATAAATTTGGGTGTGTAAACAGTCGAAACGGTCTGCTTGCCCCGTTTTCCGTCATGTTTGTTTCGTTTTCGGCCGTTTACATGGATCCGACAATCCAAAAAAAATGTTTTAACAATTTTCGTCATGTGACGTGTGTTGTTGTGTACCTGTTTTCAACCATTACTTGAGTGTGATTGGTGCTTCCACGGCAACACTTGGCACATGACGAACTTTGGCGGATCCTTTGCTCCCGTGTAGACGCGCGAAAACGATACAAACCGAGACCACCTCGGACCAGCTTTGATCGTGTAAACGCACGAAAATGAAAAATGAAATGCGGGACTGAAAATGGAAAACTGGCCGTGCGTTGTCGTGTAAACGCAGCCTTAGCCACCCACAGTAGTAGCAAGTATTACCTTCACTGGGGGCAGGGGTAACTGCAGTTGGGTCCCAGGACGGATACCCTGATGCCGTCAATCCTTTTTCTGCACCTTGTCCTCAGCCACTTACTGAGGTGTGGTGAGCCCGTAAGTGGGATCATTTGCAAGTCCACCCATAATTTGGGGATTTCACGGGGTGTCGGGAGTCAGGCGGTTCAATAGCCGATTGAGTCCTTTTTCCAAGATTCCTTTTGAGTTCCTCTCTCTCCTCTCCCGGGAAGACCCACGTGACCCATTTTGGCAGTGAGCAAATACAGTACAGTGCAGTGTGTGTGTTCATGTGTATATGTGTGTGTGTGTGCGGTGTACGAACCAGTATGTGAAAGTGTGTGCGTGAGAGTGAGCGGGTACGATCAGGGGTACCTACAGACCTTCACAGACTGTCTCACTTCACATAAGAAATACAGTAAAACTGGTTTAAGCAACCACCCCACGGTGCAAGCAAAAGCGGTCGGTAAAGCCAGGCGGTCTTTAGAACCACGTCCCACAGTGTCTGTGTAGAACTGTCGGTGCATGGAAAACGGTCGTTAAGAGCAGGTGGTCGCTAAACCCAGAGGTCGCTTACACCAGCTAGGTTTTACTGTATAGCTTATATGATACTTGTTGGTAGACTGGTTATCAGCAGTTGTAAAGGCAGTTCCAAGTTCAGCCCTCACCAACGCCCAAAACGTCACTGGCCCGTTTGTTAACGGTTGCGCTAATCGACCAATCAGCGTACAGCTAATGTACCAAAATTCTCAAACTTACGGTAATTCCTTGGTTCATACGGTGTAGTTTCCAAAGATTTGTTACGGACCAACGTCATTCGATAGATACCAACAGATCGTCCGGTTCGAATTTTTCGATATGATTGCTGTTTGGCCGAAAATTACCTCCGAAACCGGCCTCCACTCGTTTTACTCCAAGGCTTTCCAGGTAGACGACATCGCAATTCGGAAGCAGAGAAAGGATAGCCAGTGAAAAAAACAACAACGACGTATTGGTTGTCAAAATTGACCAAGAAATGAATTCAACAGACCAGTTTCCGTGCTGCGCCCTCGCGGCCCGCGCGAGTGCGAAAGGGATCAAAGGGATTCTTTCTCGACAAAACAAAATAGACAACTACGCACAGTGCATGCAGGTGCTTTTTGCAGTGCAGTACACTGTCATTACTGCACTGGCTGTACATACCTTAGGAATATCCCGTTCTTTTCCACGGCATGATTGTCGCTAATGGGAGAACTCAGCCACCTGAAGCTTTCATAAAGGAAGAAGTAGTAGGTGAATGAGTTCGCCAGAAAATGGAACGACAAGAAAATATATACTGTTGCATTCGGGCGCTAGTGAGACGACGGAAAGATAGAACTGAAACAGTCGACAGTCTATCTCGACGCAAAAGGCCTCGCCAATGCTAAAAAAAACTCTTCAAAGAAAAGCTTGACGTGCTGTAGAGTTTGCAGTATTCTGCTGCAAGTAGACAAGAGAACTAACTAAGACTACAGCGTGGAGACGAAGCAAAAGCTGAGCAAGTTCAAAAAAATGGGGAAAGACAGGAAAATGAGTGCGCGACATGATCTTTAGCTCGAAGCTTGCGCGAAGACACGCGGGAGGCGCTTGCGCCTACGGGTAACGCGGCCAGTCACCATTATTTCAAAATGGAGGTTGACGCTTTTGAAATCTGTGTAGACGATGGTGAGGGCTGAAGTTAGAAAATTGCAAGGCTGCCACACCTGGAGGGAGAAAAATCTGACGTGGGTCCGGGGGTGTCCACCGGTGAAAATATTTAGGAAAATGGCTTGCTGCTGGGGCCCCAAAACACATTTTTAACTCTCCACACACACATGCAAGCACGCGTGTATTTTACAGCTGCATGAACATGTACATGACATTGTACAATGACTGGCCAAACGCGACCTGGAAGCGCAGAATGGCCAACTGGACTACAAAGCGCTCAAAATTAAAATAATCGGTTGTCCCTCTTTGGGAACAAAATCGGTCGGTTTGTCCGACAGGCGATCAAAAATCGGACGATTTCCGAAAAGTCGGAGCAAGTGGCAGCCCTGAAATTGGAAAATGGCATTGAATAGGCATTCCTGGGCGGGAGTCGAACCACACCTATGTCTACAAGATTCAATGCTAGCGCCCGTGCATAGCCTATGCTTTCTGGTAGCAGGATTCCATGTCTCTTCAGATGTTTTCCTTTCCATCATCTTCAAGCTGAGTTCTGCTTTTATTATGTGCATTCAATTTTTGTACTGTGCAGGCACCATCTTGTGTACATGTGACTTTCAATGTCTTATGCGGACACTGTTATGAATCTGATCAGCTCACCGCTGCCAAAATATGGTAAGACATTTGTGTGTGTGTGTGTGGGGGGGGGGGGTCGTGTATGTGTGTGCGTGCTTGTGTGTGTGTGCGTGCATGCGTGCACGCATATATCATATGTTTATAAACAACTGGTTTGAAGCTCAAAGTAGAGCTGCTGTTAGCTCAGAGCAGAGCTGCAGTTAGCTCAGAGCAGAGCTGGTGCTAGCTCAAAGTAGAGCTGCGGTTAGCTCAAAGTAGAGCTGTTAGCTCAAGGTAGAGCTGCTGTTAGCTCATAGCAGAGCTGCGGTTAGCTCAAAGTAGAGCTGCGGTTAGCTCAAAGTAGATCTGCTGTTAGCTCGAAGTAGAGCTGTTGTTAGCTCAAAGTAGAGCTGCTGTTAGCTCAAAGTAGAGCTGCTGTTAGCTCAAAGCAGAGCTGCTGTTAGCTCAAAGTAGAGCGGCTGTTAGCTCAAAGTAGAGCTGCTGTTAGCTCAACGTAGAGCTGCAATGCTAATGGATGTAATATATTGCAAGGCTGAGCCGCACCAAATAGCTAGATAACACCAGTTGTGAGAGTGGACCCATGCAACCAGCACTCCGTTAGCTAAGCACTATTCACGCACAGCAAGGGTCAATTAATGTCAGCACAGGCAAGCATCGTGCAGCTAGAGTTCAGTAGCTCATGGCATCCATGACACGGCAGCAAACCGAGACAATAGCTGGCGTTTAGGGCTTGTTGTAGTCCGGATGTAGCATAGACTCGCATCGCTCTTTCCACTGACCTGCCACTCAGAAGAAGGAGTCGGGGGCGCCGGCCATAGCAGCGGTGGTGGCTGCACCAATGTGGGCTGAATGCCCGGAGTAGTTCGACTGGGATGGTACACCGGCCGCAGCGACAAGAGACCATACTGTTACTGTGAATGACTGCCTGGTCAGCTGCTGTCTGTTCGAGAGTACGAACAAGAGTTGCTCCGGTCCCTCGCGACGAGTGACAAATGGGTAGCTAACCATGGCACGGACCGGGCAGTACGGTGGTACAGACGGGCCAATGTCACTAGTAACGCCTTTACCGAATGCGTCCGTCTTGGATGAAAGCATGAAGAGTTGCAGGCGTCTGTCACCAGGGGAGCTAGTACAGCCCAGTGTAATGCCATTAGTGAATTCGGCACACCGAAGAAATCCAAAGAAGCAGCATGGCGGCTTGGTAGAGCAGCTTGTCATGGCCATTCAGGATACTACTTCTCTGGCGTGCATCCGTCAGGTATCGTGGGATTGGCATAGTGATAGGAAGGCGAGGTGTGAGTACAGCCGTGCCATGGCATCGCTGGATGCCCTTCAACACCCTCTTCAGAAGCCATCTACTAAGGAGCCGGCAAACCCATTCTCAAGATGGGCTTTACACACCGCACTCACATAAACAGATACAGTTCAGGGCACACTGATCATAGTTCACGCATGAATGTGCGTCCAGGAATGATGACTCGGGCAGCAAAAGCGAGCTTCCCCAGGAGGGACTCGAGTTGACGCTGGCCAATGCTGCGCTCGCTGATAGAAGCCATGAGTGGCGCACGGATCTCGGACAGCTTGTCCTCTGGTAGCCGAGCTTCATGGCGCTCGCAGTCTAGGACAATACCAAGGAAGGTCAATGATGGTGATGGCCCTTCGAGCTGGGATGGAGCAAAGAGGAATGCCGAGATACGTGAATGCCCGGAGTGGGATGGTGAGTTGCTGGTTGGCTGCAGCCAAACCAGTGGAGATATCGAGAAAGTCATCGAGGTAATGAAGCCGGTGATCTATAGCAAACTCGTGCTGTAGGATCCAGTTGACTGCTGTGGCTACTGAGTCAAAGACGGCTGGGCTGGAGCGGAGGCCGAAAGACAGGAAGCGCTCGTAGTAGTAGGAGCCTTCCCAGCGAAGTCCTGACTGCGGACTGGGATCAGCTGAAATGCACTGCATACATCGAGCTTGGACAAATACACAGGCTGTGGGCATGACATGATGATGTTGATCGCGTTGTCAATGCTCGCATAGTGCAGAGAGAGAGAGAGAGAGAGAGAGAGAGAGAGAGAGAGAGAGAGAGAGAGAGAGAGAGAGAGAGAGAGAGAGAGAGAGAGAGAGAGAGAGAGAGAGAGAGAGAGAGAGAGCGGCTCGGCAGGAATGCTGTCGTTCGTGCTGGTGCCTTCCGGACTAGACAGATGGTGGATCATTCGCAGCTTGCCGTTCTTTTTGGGGACGGCACCAATACCAGAGCGGCGCATGAACTGAAATGGAGGTGGCGGAAATGGGCCTGTGGTCTCGCTGCGGGCGCAGGAAGCAGCTAATTGCTCGGATATAAATGCCGACTTTTCCCGTTTGTCTCTTTCCCTCAAAACCAGTTAATATTTTATGACTTGGGGCTCCCCGCCGGCTAGTTTGTGCGTGAAGTGTGTGGGTACAGTGGGGGCTGCATCCCACCCGCCTGTGTGGATTCACAGGAAGTGTGAGTTACGAAGTCTGAAGAAAACGTTGAACGGTCTCTGCTTGGATGACGACTGCACCATAGCTCAGAGGTAAGAGCATCGCTGGCTACAAGCGAGGGTCCCTGGTTCGAGTCCTGGTGGTGACAGTCAATTTTTTCTTCAGACTTTTCCCGTTTGTCTCTTTCCCTCAAAACCAGTTAATATAAATGCCGAGTGAGTGAAAGCCGAGGGCGGATTATTAGAGAAAACCGAAATGTCATGTTGGCGGGCAAAGTGGTCAGCTAGCAGTGTGGTGTCTGCAGAGTGTATAGAAAAGAAGCTACGTACCAAGTCAAGCGATTCAGTAGCCATTCTGCTAGGAGCGGTGGGGTGGCCGATTGGCTCTGTGCTGCCGCTGGTTGCACCTGATGCATGGGTGGTCCTTGCCACACTGGCTGCAGGTGTGGGAGAAGCGGCATGACGACAAAGAACAGCGACCTCCATTGAAGGTGCGGCAGATTTCTTGGCCGTCGCTGGTATGGGTGCGACCACTGGAGGTAAATGCTGCTGGCTTGGGGAATTGAGATTGGGGACGAAAAGGACACGAACCGCCCCTGGATGGACCGTCTTACATTGAGCGCATTTTGGGTGTGCATGGCCTGTGAAAGCTATCTGCCATAGGTTCACGTCGATGGTGTCCAACCTCTTCGTGCCTGGTTACTAGGCCACGAGCATCCGCAGCTGGCGGTCGTACTCTAGCCACGCGCTTGGGAAGAACTGGCGGTTAGCAGTCAGGATCAACTGCTGGTACACAATCAGTTCAGCAGTTCAGCAGTGTGGTGTAGGGCAGCAGCCGTGATAGCAGACATGTATGTGGTTCATGCCTCGAGCCGGGTTGCTACATGTATATCGTGGACCTTGCGACGCACCTGCTTCGCGTCATCCGACTCAACGGTATTTAGCTGGCTATCGTTATTCGGGCTGTGCACCAGCCAGAATGTTGTACCGAAAGTGTGCAAGAATTTCAGGCAACAAACTTGAAAAATTGACGAACTCCCCTCGCAGGATACGTTCTTGTTCAGCCTTGGGCACAGCTGGTGCAGGTGGCTGATCGGGTGGGTTACAGGAGCTTGGCCTGGCGTAGTGGCGGCAGAAGCCACATTGCCTTGGCCTTGGGTGATGAGCAGCACAATGCTCTCCGATAATAATATATTGGCGGCCGACAAAGCTGACTACACCTCGTCCCGTATGAGAGTGCAGAGATCCGTTCAGCCCGCGTCACCTGAGCTGGCGGAGGAGGCATTGGTGCCAGTCGGGTTTCTGGGCTTGCGAGCCGTGTCCGCACTGTCCTGTTGCTGGTTCTCCTGGCCGGAGCAGACCTGACTACCAAGGGCTAGCTTTGCTAGCAAACGGTCCTGTAAATTACTTAAACTAGGTTTCCTTTCGGATTCAAGCCGCGCTGAGAAAGCTCGCCGCGGAGGGCTTGGCAAGGCATTGCCTTGACAGTCTCGACAGTTAGGTCAGACATACTGAAGAAATACAGTGTCGAGGTGACACTCGGGCTGGCAGCAAAGCTACGGAAGGAAAAGCAACACTGCTGAAGCATGATCCGTTGTCTGGAAGAGCACAACAGGGCAAGCAAGATTTGTTTTTCTTTTCAGCAAAACGGGCTGGTGCCATTTGTGATTACGCAGCAAAACAAAGCGCATGACGTCAGTCTTGAATGCAGTACAAAGCAATGCAATGCAGTGTGTGCGCTAGTTCGGATTGTTGCTAACAAGTACTAGCACAGCTAGCACACCATTATATGGTTCATAAAGGCACATTTGTCTGGGGCAAAGTCGGGGATTCGCCCCATACGTTGCATTTAGCGTGGCAAGACACTATTGGAAGAAGAGGTTGGTGCGACTTCGGCGATAGTTGGGGAACTGTGTGTTACACCCTACTAGATGTCCATCGAACCTTCGACTTGGCAAACCTGCAAGAAAGCACCACTCCCTGCTGAGCAGGAGCAGGTTTGCCCAATGACAGTTCGATGGACTTCTCATGTGCTCTGGATGGTAGTCGTGAGTCAGTCAAGTGAGAATTCAAGTCGGCAGGAAAACCGCGAGCTCCGATGTAGGGACCAACGCACACTTCCCCAAGACAATATTGGAAAGTGAAGAATGGGATACGGGGTAACTGTTTCTCATGCCCGCACCCTACTAACGCTATTTTGACCTGGCTAGAACCCTGGTGTGTGTGTGGAGGGGTGGGGTAAGTACATATGCCGAAATAAGTGCATTCGCCCCAGTGACATAAACGGCAGTCTGCAGACTCTACGCTGATAGATTTTCGATTTCCTATGTGCAGTAGCTGCTGTATGCTGCCAAGTATTTGTAGAGTCAAAACGTAGCTCTCATGTTTGCTGGGTTTCCTGTTGGTGACATGGCTTTGTGAACCCCGACCCTCCACTCCCGAGTCACAGGTACGAAGGGTGACAAGGGAACCCTGGAGCCTCCATAGGGTTCTTGGGAAGGTTCCAGTGTCGTCGTGAAAAAACAAAACATTCCAACTTAATGTCGTATCCGGATATGGGGGTCTGTCGTCGAAGAAAAGGGGGGGGGGGAGGGGCAGCCTCCTAGCCTAGACGGTTCATATTTTCCATTGTATGATAGGATATGTACAGTTGAGTCACTGTGTATACATTGGTATGCTGGGCTTGGTGAAATTCTAGCCTGGTCGTTCTTCAGCGCCCGGCAGTACTGTCGTGTATGAACGCTGTCCTGATTGGCATTACTCTTTGCCTATTGTGTATGTGATAATCTGCAGGGTAGCAGCGAGTAGTCACGGCAAACTGAGAAGATTCTTTAGCAGTACTGGCAAAGTAGCTCAACGGCTCATTCCTGACGGTGAAACGAGCTCAAGGAACCTATCTGTGGTGCTTCTCTGACTGGACAGACAGGGGTAGAGGTGGCCAGGAGAGCTGCACAGGAGGGCTATCAAGGAGAGCCATCCACAGGCTGTAGTGATCAGGACGCCACCTTGAGGCCCGACTGGGACAACAACCGGGCACGTTGCCCAGAAAACAGCAACCTAGAGGGGTCCTGCTGCGTGGATATCTGAGGGCAGCACCACAGACAGCCCCTGGAACACACTCGTACTGGGTACACAAACACACCGGCTCACCGCCAGGGACAGCACCAGCCAGGTCACTGCCAGGGACAGCACCAGCCAGGTCACTGCCAGGCACAGCACCAGCCAGGTCACTGCCAGGGACAGCACCAGCCAGGTCACTGCCAGGGACAGCACCAGCCAGGTCACTGCCAGGGACAGCACCAGCCAGGTCACTGCCAGGGACATCACCTGCCAGGTCACTGCCAGGGGCAGCACCAGCCAGGTCACTGCCGGGGACAGCACCAGCCAGGTCACTGCCAGGGACAGCACTAGCCAGGTCACTGCCAGGGACAGCACCAGCCAGGTCACTGCTAGGGACAGCACAAGCCAGGTCACTGCCAGGGACAGCACCAGCCAGGTCACTGCCAGGGACAGCACCAGCCAGGTCACTGCCAGGGACAGCACCAGCCAGGTCACTGCCAGGCACAGCACCAGCCAGGTCACTGCCAGGGACAGCACCAGCCAGGTCACTGCCAGGGACAGCACCAGCCAGGTCACTGCCAGGGACAGCACCAGCCAGGTCACTGCCAGGGACATCACCTGCCAGGTCACTGCCAGGGGCAGCACCAGCCAGGTCACTGCCGGGGACAGCACCAGCCAGGTCACTGCCAGGGACAGCACTAGCCAGGTCACTGCCAGGGACAGCACCAGCCAGGTCACTGCTAGGGACAGCACAAGCCAGGTCACTGCCAGGGACAGCACCAGCCAGGTCACTGCCAGGGACAGCACCAGCCAGGTCACTGCCAGGGACAGCACCAGCCAGGTCACTGCCAGGGACAGCACCAGCCAGGTCACTGCCAGGGACAGCACCAGCCAGGCCACTGCCAGGGACAGCACCAGCCAGGTCACTGCCAGGCACAGCACCCGGGTCACTGCCAGGGAACCACATCTGGGTCAATACCAGGTCATCACCTAGACTAACACCCAGGTCAGCAACCGGGTCAACACCCAGGTCAACACCCAGGTCAATACCCCAGTCATCACCCAGGCTAGCTACGATTTCAATACCCAGGCTAACACCCAGGTCATCAACCAGGTCAACCACGAGGTCAACACCCACGTCAATACTCCGGTTATCACCCAGGTCAACAACCAGGTCATCAACCAGGTCAATACCCCGTTTATCACAACTGACATCGACCAGAGAACTTTCAAGAGGGACACCGGAGTACCCAGGACAAAACCCAACATACTGACCCAGGAAGCATACCCACGGCAGCCTCGCGCAATATTACAAGGCACTGATTTGGGAAACTGCCAGAAACGAAAAAACAACCCAATACAACATACGCATTGAACTGAGCAGTGTACGACAGCGTCGACTCTTCTCACATCTGCATTACACCGATCACAACGAAGGGCTTTTGATGCTGAGGAGGCCGAATGCCGAGCTAAAGACTCTGTCTACTACTAATTGACGGCTACTTGGTGACTTGACATCACCTCTCATCAACGTTTACAGGAACGGGCCTTGCAAGTGATACAGAAGCACTGGCACTGACTTTGCACTGCTGCAATGCTTCCACAGCAACACCAGCCAACGCAAAGGCAGAGGTATGATCAAGAAGAGAACGGACAGCACCAGCAGCACCAACAGCATCATCTTCATCCGCAGCAGCACCAGCAGCAGCCGCGACAGCAGCAGGGACAGCAGCACCAGCAGCACCAGCAGCAGCACCAGCGCCAGCAACAACAGCAGCCGCGACAGCAGCAACAACAACAGCAGGGACAGCAGCCGCAACATCAGCGGGGACAGCAGCAGGGACAGCAGCAGGGACAGCGTCAGGGCCAGCCAACCACAGCATCAGACCAAAACCATGCTGTTCCGGGTTCTGCACATTTCGGTCAGCGTCCATGCGAATGGATAGGCTCTGAAGAAGCCATCAACACCGTTTTTCTACCCCGTCATCTGCCAGACTATCGTGCAGAGAGCACTGAGGATCCACTGAAATGCAACTATGGAGAAAGCCAGGTGTTGAGTGCGTTTGCAGATATCAACGCTGACATTCTGCCTGCTAAAACCACACGTATGCTCTATGCATGGAATGATTCATTCCGACCCAGCACTGATCAACTTGACAGGACATGGCAGAACTTGGCAGTCAACGAGCGATTGCCCGTCTATCTACCGGCACAAAATGCAGCGCTGACATTCGCCGTGCTGGAAGACAACCTTGTGGAAGTCAGCGGTTACGACATCCAAGCTGCAGCAAAGACGGTGGTATCCGCTAAAGGCCCTTTGCTCACTGAACAACCACGACTCTCAATTGTCCTACCAAAGGAGCATGCATTCTCACGGACAATGGCTGAGCAAATCTGCTGTCTTCAACGGCATGTCTTCCCTGATGCCATGGCAACAACTGAACGTCGTCACACAGTATTGAAGGAGAATCGTGAAGTCATCAGCTCAAAGTACGTCTTTGAATGGCTCTTCTCCGCAATGGTGGCCCTACAGGAATCAGACACGCCAGACTCGACTGTTGTTGCCGTGCAGAAGAAAGTGAGGGATGTTGTGACATTTCCCAGAAGCCATGACTCCAGCATGCTGCCATGGCGTCGCAATCCAACATGGTTTGCTGTGAAGTATATTCTTCATGCTACTCTGGTCAAGGACTGTGGGTTTGTGACCGGAACGGTCCTGTACAAGACCGCTATGCTGCGATTCATGACACAATTCCTCCTCTCCAACTCACCGCCAGGAAGCAGTAAAGGCCACAACAGCAAGGCCAAGGATAGCAGCAACAACAGCAGCCGCAGCGGTAGTGGTGCCAGCAGCCATGGCAACAGCATCAGCGGTAGTGGTGCCAGCAGCCACAGCAACCACGGCAGCAGCAGTATCAGCACGGACCTGCTGCATCAGATGCTATGCAAAGTCAGCAATCGCATCCACAAACTGTCATGTCTACTGGAGACTGCAGACCTGCCAGATGGTATGCTTGAGATGTGTTTGCGACAGATCAGTGTTTCCATGACAACTGTCACCAACATAAGTTCTACACTGCGTGTTGATTGGAAGAAGCACTGTGCATCACTGGAGTCCACAGCTAAATTGGATACCATTGCAGCTGCTCCGGTTGATGAGCAATCAACTGTTCTGTCCCTGAGTGCATCACGTGCCAGGATCTCCAGGCTGCTTGGAGGCAACACGCCTAAGGTTGACATTATCCGCGGAGCAATGGACCAGCATGGCGATGGCAGTGACTTGTCAATGGCAGGCATCAGCTCTCCTGAAGGCAGTCACATTGGTCTACATGCCTTTGAAGAACAGATACTCAGGCGGTGGCAGCAGCGGAAACTGCAACCAATGTCGACGGCAGACTGTCTGCGCAAGATGATGAGCTACACGAGTGCAACGGCTAAGATCTATGATAAACCGGATGCGATAGCCCAAAGTCGTCGTCTCCTAGTGGCCTCCGTTCTCATGGCAATGTGTGACATGTCAGCGACATCTGATCATCCGTTGCTTCTCCAGCACGGAACTGATGTGAACATGGAACCACTACGCAACATCCTGACAACCACGCCGCTGGAGATGGAAATTCTACACGAGGTGGAAGCATACTACGGTGATCGTTCTCTAAACGCAACACAGAATACTGGGCCACTGCAACCCGGTGTGACCAGCAACTCTCTCTCCGTGCAATACTTCAATACACAACGTGAGATGAAAGAACGTCTTGAGCAGCTCATCGTCCAAGATGAGCTGAAGGAGGAGGTGCACAGAACGGCTGTCCAGAACGCCTTGGAGAAGATGAGTGAGGATGAGCGGCGTCATAGCAGAATGAGCTGCCAGCACGAATACGAATGGAATAGCGACTACACGGTGCAAACAGAAAACCACTATTATTGGCGCTGCAACAAGTGTACGCTGGATAGAGAACTGGATGGAAGAACGCATCAGATCTTTGAGCGTCTTCTTCCTCCCGAGCAGCCGTACAGGAAAGCCGCTGTGTTTGAGCTGTGTATTCCCAGCAATATCAGCAGCTGGCGAGACTGCACTCTCGTTTTCAACGAGCACTTTCTCTTGTCTGTCTCATTCAAGAAGGACACACCGTCTTCAAAACGGGAATGGGTCGAACGCTTATCCGGCTCATCAGCTAAAGGAAAGGTGACGCTCGGGAGCACAAATGTACCTTTCCTGAATGCTCACTACTCCAGCAAGGGACTACGGAATGAACACTGGCAGGAGTTTGTGAAGCCGTGCAACATGAACTGCACTCTGGCTAAGGACAGCAAGGTGATGCAGGTTCCATATTGTCATAACGATGACATACGCAAAACCTGCACTCTTGACCACAGCAATGGCCAGCTGCAGCAATACATCGATGTGACAACGCACCAGCAGAGTGATGTCATCGCCAAACAGAATGTCTGCCCGGAATTCTTCAGCCTGCGCGAGTTCATCACATTCGGCAGTGTGCGTGCTGGACAGCGTCTTCAGTGGTACAACATACTACGGGGTATTCACCAGCGAACACTGCTACTACATCGTGTGCAGGTTGTACAGCTTATTGCACAGAGTGTATGGCAGGCAGAGTCCAATGAGGAACAAACCATACTTCGTGATGCCCATCATCCCTGTCAGGATACCGCTTTCGTGGCAGAGTTCAGCCTTGAATTGCGCACAGTACTCGGCAGTGTCAAGGGCAACTGGGCCAACTATTGGTCTTTGTGTAGCGTTGTTCTACTGGCTAACCGCTTGCTAAGCTTGTACTTGACACATGCACGTGCTGGGCCAGAACAGACTACCATCTCCGCACTGTACACCATCTTGGCGGAATGTCGCCAGGAAGCTGTGATATGGCTGGATAAAATTCGTGCCCTGATGGAGCAAGTCGAGGATGATTCAGCCGGTAACCTGCAAGAGGCTGCTGCTCACATTGCAACGTTTGGTACGTTGACCTATCAACACAGCGTTGATCTGGACGGACACGACGCGAGAGCACTATTCAACTGGCTGAAGTTCGTCACTGACCTCCATGCTAACACAGTGCTGAATCAAAGTCGAGCTCAGGGCTTCTTGGATCATCTTACTAAGCAAACATTACGTATTGCATTCAACAACCACTCCTCCTTTATCGCGATCATCAAGGACAGGATGAATAGCGAAGGCAGAAATCCAGAATTCGAGAACTTCATCTCAGACTTCTACATGCCTGGCATATCTGCTTTAAGCTATAGAATCCATGATGAGGATCAGCTCTGGATCAGCTGTAAGTGGAAGCATGGACATGAAGAGGAGTTTGTTCAATTTGACCTGCGAGAAGGCAAATGTTGGATCAACGGATTGCCGCCGGGAAGATTGTCAACAGACATCACCAGGTCGGAACTGTTCAGTCGACATTTCAAGGCAACCGTCTTTGTCGTCATGTCCTGCACCAGTCCACAGGGTCAGATAGCGCAGGCAACAGGTGCCTTGGCAGCATGCTCAGTGGACAACATTGGCAATGACTCATCACCGGAGCAAGTTGGACCATTCCTGTTTGCAAGACATAATCGCCTTGGCAGGAAACAGCTGTGCGTGTATGAATGCCGTGCCGATGGTCGCGAATTGTTGCTACTTGATCCGTCTTGGTTCTCAGATGGCAATGCATTTGACCTACCAGCGTTGATGGTGGATGAACACAGCTTCTGGTTAGATATCCACACTCACAAGATCTACCTGCGCCCAGTGTACTTCAGGGACAAGAACTTTGCTGACGTAGACCGTTGTGAGTACATTCTCAAGTTCAGCAATGGTCGACTGTGCGTTTGTGAAGGTGCATCCGTCGGCGTGTCCCCAGCATCCACTCTGCTCAGTCTAACATCCTCAGTTGGTGAATCAGTACTGGAAGTGATGCTGCGTATTGAACTTGCCAAGTACATTGAAATCTGGTTGGATGTGGAGGGGACGGTTCGTGTCCGTTTGCCGCGTCTTGGTTTGTCATTCTTCATCTGCAATGAAGCCGACGGATCGGTGGTGTTTAAAAGTGGTGACTACATTGGCTGGAGTGTGGATAGTGATCAAAGTCTTGGTGGTACTCTACTCGGCCTGTCAACCGGTTTAGTTCTGGTGTCTAACAAGAGTGAGAAATCCGAGCAGCGCTGTTTACTCTTACCACATGGTCTACCAGTGTATGGATCTGCTGCTGATGAGTCTACAAATCAGCATGCAATTGTCAAAATCCAACTTGAGAAATTGTATGAGCCAAGGATGTTCCGTTTTGCCATCCGACCCGACCTGCAGCAATTGAAAGCTCCGGACAGCCGCTGTGCCTGGTTCTACCTGTCTTTGTTGCACGCCATGACATCATTCGTCCAGCCAGACCCATTCACTGAAATGACTGGTATGGAAATGGCCATTCTTATACTCCAGTCAGCACGTTGTTGGTCATGTGATCCACTTGATGATACATCCTTACTGTGGTTGTACCACACTGCACAACTATCACCATCTCGTCACTATTACCCTGAGCACATGGAAGTGATGCAAACTGTCCAATGGCCAGCTCATCTACCATCGTATTGTGCAAGCGATGCGTATATTCTATTAGTGGACAAGATCATCAGCAACAGTAAGACTGTCTCATTTCTTCACACTCAGGGTACATCGGAAGCACGGGACAAGCTGCTGAAGTCCATAGACCATCTTTCAAAGAGGCCTCTGAACAAGATGAGCTACACTTGGAGTCGTAACAACCTGCCATTACTAGCTCGTCTTCAAGAAGACAAAGACGTGGCTTGTGCTTCTCCCACACCAGCATTTGACCATGTTCCAGCTCTGCACAAAGAAACATGGGAAACAACATGGAGGCTGGTGACTAGAAGTGGAGCAGCTATGGCGTTCACAGCAGACATCATTGATGAAGAACTACGTACACGAGCTGACAGCTGTATGGATGGCGAACAGAAAAAGTTCCGAAAAGGCATCGAGCGTCTGTTCCTTTTGACTTGCAAGAGCTGGTCAGGAATTGATTTGTGCAGTGACTTCATAGCACTTCATGAACACATTGACAGCTGTAAGGAAACTGTGGCTGAGCGTATTCGACTGGCACTCATGTTTTCACTATGGACGTACGAAGGCAAGCAGAGTAGACTTTCCTTGCTCATACTGGCAGCTCTTGCAAACTCTCGCGAGACAACAGAGCCCCCCGGACTGCGTCAGTTCCCATCGCCGCATGCTGTCCAGCCACCTGCCTCACACGTCTTCACGGCCAAAATTAAATCTTTTGAGGATTTCTGCTCGTCCCGAGGTCTGGACAAACCCAGTGCCCATGCCAGCAGTGTAACAGTGAGGAGCTACCAGGAACGACGCAGTCAGCTTGAGCAGCGGTATGACTCAGATAAGGCAACGCTGAATGGCTGCATTAGCCAAGACGTTGTGTTTGCCGGCAATCTACTTAGCAATGGTCCTTACTTTGACACCTACCATAAGACCTCTTCTGCTTCACTACCAATGGTCTTTCAAGTGTCGCAAGAGCACTTGTTTAAACGTGGATACGAGTATCGCAATGATTTTGCCGCTCGCCTCACGCACGCCAACTCCTCCAAGGTCCTGCAGCGCTACGCAGAGCTCATGTCTGCCTCGGTGCAGGTGATGGAGGTGACGACACCGCCTGCCGTGTTGGACCGCTTGGAACCTGACTCACAGGAACGCCATCAAGATTACTGTAGACTGCTTAGTATCACGATGCCGCCGGCCCCGCATAGCCAAGACCGCAGTAGTAGCAGTACAGGTGAAGCACCCGGGCCGGTTGCCATCAAACAGAACCAGCAGCCACACAGGGATGGCGCCAACGAGCTGAGGGAAGTTGAACGGCTTCGAGAGCAGCTCCAAACCCCGCAACAGACGTCAGGAGGACAACGCAATCCGATCATCGATGATTTCTCACACGATCTGAAAATGAGCCTCCAGGATCTACGGCACCATCCATTGCCAAAGGTGGAGGCCAGTGGCAAGCGTGACAATGACCAGTTCTTCTTCCAAAGCCTGAGACACAAGGAGAAGCTGCACGACAAGACAAGGAAGCAAGTGCAGCGTGCCGTGGACAGCAGCTATGCTAGGCTCGATTCCCAGAAAGCCATGCACTCATGCGGCCTGCTACTGCGCTGTCTCCCGCTGGCTCTGCTGCCACATCTGCTGAGCAAGGTCCCGACAGTGCAAGGCCTTCTCAACATCACCATTGATCAGGTCACAAGAAAGTGCATTGTGCACTGGGCAGTGGATATGGTGAATGTCCTGCGCTGGTCCCGCCTGATTCGTCTTCACAAGAACGACCAACTGGACATGTTGCAAAGAGAGCTATCTAATGAGCCGCACGCAAATTGGGCTCCGCTCCATCACGTGGAGTGGCTTCTCTTTGAGTTAGAGAATGATGCGTGCATCTGGAAGAGACAAGTCGATGTGGCCGTGCAAATGATGAACCCATCAAGTTGCCTCGGCATGGAGCAGCAAGACCACCAAGGCGAGCAGCTATACGAACAGCAGCAGCAGCAGCAGCAGCAACAGCAGCGGCAGCAGCAGCATCATGATGATGTCAAGCTTGAAGAGAAGGCACAGAATCAACTGCATGCTGTGATGCAGTTGAACATGGGTGAAGGCAAGACTAGTGTCATTTTACCAATCATTGCTGCTGAACTTGCAGACAGTGAGTCATTGGTCAGAATCATCGTCTTGACTTCACTTCACAACACCAATATCAATCAGCTTGTCTTCAAACTCGGTGGACTGCTCAACCATCGTGTCTACTCTCTACCGTTTCGACGTGACATCCCACTGAGTGAGGGTGACGCTGGCAGACTGAGGGATTTCTTGCAGGTTGCTAGGCAACGGCGTGATGTCATGGTGACGGTCCGTGAGCACTTGTTGTCATTGCAGATCAAGCATCAGGAAGCCTGCTTTAAACGCAACACCCAACTAGCAAGGATATTAAGCAATCTGATGAACGATCTGCATGTGTATGCGCGTGACATCATTGACGAAGCGGATGAAGTTCTGCATCATCGTTTTCAGCTCATCTACCCACTCGGTGACTCTTCGCCACCAGATGGCAAGGAGCTGCGTTGGGACGTGGCTGAACTTGTGTTGGAAGCTGTGAAAGTCTGCATGCCTGCGATCAAAGACAGGTTCAAGGAAGCCGTCACCTACACAAGCAAACAGGCGCATGAATTTCCGTTTGTGCGCGTCCACGATTCCCCTGAGCAAGACCCGCTGTACAAGGCGCTTTGTGAAGCACTGGTAGACTACATATTTAGTGGCCGGGGGCGTTTGACAAAGCCCGACTTCATGAATGCATTGACAAAGGCTACACCCGAGCAAAGAGAGCAGCTGAAACAGCTACTACAAACTCACAACCTTTCGAAAATTGGTGCAGATATGTTCCGCAGCATGCCCGATAAGATGACATTGACAATGCTGATTCTGCGTGGTCTCCTGGCTAGCGGTGTCCTGTTGCTTGCACTGAAGAAGAGATATCGCGTTGAGTACGGTTTAATGTCCACCACTCAACGCGCAGTGTCCAGCAGCAGCAGCAGCAGCAGCGGTGGCAACAACAGTGGCTCTGGCAGCAGCGATAGCAGCAGCGGGAACAGCAGCGGCAACAGTGGCAGTAACAGACCCTCTGGGAGCAGCGGCAGCAGTGGCTCTGGGGGCAGTGAAAGTAGCAGCGGAAGCAGCAGCAGCAACAGCAACCCTGTTGTTAATCGCCTGATCCGAATGGCCGTGCCTTTCCGTGCCAAAGATGTGGCGGCAGAGCGTACCGAGTTTGGACATCCGGATGTTGCAATTGTCCTCACTCTGCTCAGTTACTATCAACACGGCCTGACTGATGGTCAAATCAATACGGTCTTAGACAAGTTGGATCACAGGGCCGCCAAGAAAGAAATCTACAACTCATGGGTGAATGTTGCTGACGGTAACTCAGTGGATGAAAGCATACGAGAGTTTGACAGCATAAATCGCCAGGATCCCCTGCAGATGAATAATCTGGTGTATCCGTTTCTGCGCTATCACATGGATGCCATCAACTTCTTCGTCAATCTTACCATTTTCCCCAGCGAGGCAAAGGAGTTTCCCCGGAAGCTGATAGCCAATGGTTGGTCAATGACATCGAGCAGTCGAGAGCGGTGTGTGACGGGTTTTAGTGGAACAAACGACACCCGTCATTTGCTGCCAGGCTCCACAAAGCAACAGGACCTGCCACAGTTGAAGCATACCAATGCATACGTGTGCAGCCTCTTACTGAGAAAGTGTAACAATCGCTACAATGTCCTGCCAGAAGACTGTAACGGACGCGCTCTGCTCACTGCTATTACCGAGACATCATCTGGACGGAGACCGGCTACAACAACACCACCATTAGCAACAGCAACAGCCAGCACCACCGTGATATCACCCAATGAAGCATCATCAGCCAATGCAACGGGTACAGTGCAGCCGAGAGCAGCAGAAGACGTACGGCGGAGAGAAGACACAGCAATGAAAGCAGGGTTGTCACCAACAGCAGCAACAACAGCAGCAGCAGCAGCAGCAGCTGAACCTGAAGGCATGGTGACAGGAGCCCTGAAGATCAAATCTCCACAAAAATCAAGAGCAGTGAAAGCAGGTCCGATCAACACTATTATCGACGCAGGTGCAGTTGTGCTGGATTTGAGCAATGAAGAGTTTGCAAAGCAATGGCTCAAGCAGCGCACTGACAAAGAAGCAGTTATCTACTTTGACACGGCTAATCAATTACGTGTGCTAGACCGTCGTAGTCACAGTGCATGTAAACTGGAACTGAGTCCCTACGCCAGCAATCTAAGTGAATGTCTCGTCTACTTGGATCATGCTCATTGCAGAGGTACCGATCTTCAAATGGTCGATGAAACGAGAGCGGCAGTCACTCTGGGAAAGAACCTTCGTCGAGATGAGTTTGTACAGGCGTGCATGCGTATGCGACGCTTGCGAAGCACACACTCGGTCAGCTTCTGGGCTCCACCAGAAATCGACCGTCAGATCCGGCAGCTGTGTATGCTTTCTCCGGCATATGATGTAGAGCACAAGCATGTTGTACAGTGGTGTTTTCACAACAGTATTTCAGCAACAGAGGATAGTTTCTACTCTTGGGCCAGTCAGGGTCTTGCTCATCTACATACTGAGAATGCTCTAGAACCGTGCCGAGCAGCTGATGTATCCGATGACGTCATTAGGAAGACCGGTAAAGAGTGCAGCTTACAAGACCGTCTAGAGCTGTGTGAGATGTATGGTCAAGTCCGGAGCTTACAGTCAGTAGCTGACATAGTGGAACAGCGAGGCAAGTCACTGCAAGGTGCGAGGGAGATTGTGAAGCGCTGCACTCAGCTCGTGCCGCACCAGCGTCGCTACGCCCAGGAGCTAGATGAGGAACAGGAGAGGGAGCTCGAGCAGGAGATAGAGGAAGAACGCGAGCGGGAACTCCCACCGCCGAAGAAGCCCGTAAAGGAATTCCTCTTGCCGTACTTGAAGATAATGGCTGTACATGGCAGGTTGGTGAGTCAGCTCGGCCATAACGATCTCACTCCAGTTTGGCGTTGCTTTGAAGGGACGCAGCTTCCACTCACTAAGTTCCAATCGGCAGTGAGCAGCAGGCTGTGGAACTGCAATGCACACCTACATGCAACACATTCGTTTCGTAGAACCGTTGAAGATGCAGATGTGCTGAGCAACATGGATGACTTCCTCAGACCAGTGGAGTGGGTCCTGCTGGTCAATCACCCGGAGAGCGCTACAATCATACTGATCAGCCCATTTCAGGCCAACGAGCTTTCCAAGATTCACCGAAAAAATCCTGGCAACTGGAGCAGATCGTCATCTCTGTTGATGTACGCTAGTCTGGGAAACAAGATGCAATCAATCATGTCCGATTGGCGGTGTACGTTGGCTGGTGAAGCACTTTCTCCGCTGCCACGACTACCAGTGTCGCAACGAAGACTGTTTGGAGAGATCCTCTGCTTCTCTGGTGGACTGTTCTTGGGACGAGATCGTGCGGAGATGCTGGCCAACATGTCCGCCATTGCCGACGTGTTTAGTTTATCTCCTGCACCTGACAGTGGCAGCAAAGAGACCGTCAGACATATCAAGAGTGAGCGCAAGCTTGGTGGTGATGTTGTCGACCCGCTGGAGTTCCTACGCCACGTCATGTCGGCACTGCGCTCGGCCGAGAGCCTGGAGCGCAGTGAAATGGGAATGCTGGTGCTGCGCTCCGCCTGGCCAGCCCTGCCAGAGATAGACCTATGCCGCCAGAGCCTCCGCTAGCATCCTGTGCAGCTGTTCTGAACGGGAGTTCGTGGTACGTATGCAGTACGTATGTTGCATTATTACATAGCAGACTCAGCGAAGGACAACTGATACTCGGGTCTACCCAACAGTATGCTTATAAACACTTAGGGCCACAAGCATAAACAAATTTAGCGCCACATCTGGTGTAAGGTATGGGGAGAAAGCTGGCGCGGGCCAAGGCGCGACAGTAGAAGTGCCAGGAGGGTGGCGGGCCACAGGCAGGTGTGAGCATGAAACGGATTTATGTTGTACTTGAAGTATTATTATGTACGCCAGGGGCGTCGGAAGGTATTTTACGCTGTTCACGTCAGCCACCTGATGTTCAATTTACTCCCCGGGGTTGGGGTGGCTCCCCAGAAAAACGTTCTGAAGTTAGAGCCCAGATCAGTGCTTTTTATTGATGCACAGGGTGTCGGGACTAAGAGTGGTGCGGTCAATACGGTAGTGATCGTAGCGTGTCTGACGCCTCTGTATGCTCATCCCACACGCATCCACCCACGGGCATCTAGTTTATCTGTGCACAGCTGACGTCGTGCACTGGTATTATGGACGCACACATGATCACACATCGAGCATGCTGCTTCTTTTTACCTTTATTAAAACGTATGCACAACGTATGGGGCGGGGGGGGGGGCGCAGTTCGTGCAACTAAGCTGCAGTTGTGCTGCGGAAGACCTGTTTGAATACTGCTTGTACGCAGTGCATCACTAATATGATGTAATCACGGAATAGCGCCGTGATATAGCAGCTGTTAGAACGGCACACTCTTGTTGTTCATCAGGTACTCTTGCAACTGGTGTTGGACCTTTAAGGCCGTGACGTCTACAGACAAAGGACTCACTATGTCCAGAACCTCTCAAACATCTACCGTCTCAACAACACATTATTAGCATTGTGCACTGTGATTATACTTTTAGGAGCTATGCTGTGTCATCGCACTGAGCGTGTGTGTGTGTGTGTGTGTCTCTCTCTCTGTCTCCCCCTCGCTCTTTCTGCTTTCCTTGACAGGAGAATCACCCTGTCATCAACTGTTCTGCTTGCTGCCCTGCTTGCGGGACACGCCAGGGCAGTGTGTCTGCAGGGTAACATGAGGTACAGTCACCGTTGTCCCATTCTTGCCCACATCAGTTCTGTCAAAATGATCAGTTTTGATTGTGTTACTGCATACTGGCCTGCACAATTCAGCATCCATCACATACCGTTCAGAGTGTGGCGATGTCTACGAGTACGTCTATGCAAATACTCTCTTGCCACCGACATGCACAATGTCTATCGTAACTTTTAATCGTTCTTCGCAGTTTCGATTTGTATTGCTTGTGCTCTTTGGAATTTATCTTGCCCATTGTTTGCTTCATGAGGCCTGTATCTGCTGTCTTTTCTTTTTTAAAGATTTTGCTGACAATTGCAAGTCTACCTTTCTCCAAATTGTCCTACCCCCCCCCCCCCACCCGGAACGCCGGCACCACTGCCATTCCTGCGGCTCCTACTTGTGTGTACATTAACTGGCATCCAATGGATCACTACCTCTCCTCCCCACCCCCCCCCCCCCCCCCACACACACACAGCAACCGACATGTATACTTGCGCACAAGCAAGTAGTTAGTCGACATGCCAGCCTATCCCACCCTGACTGAGTATGCTCACAAACCTACATGTATGCACGTACCCCCCTTTCCCCCCTCTCCCCCCATGATGCATGTACACACACATACACATACACACACACACACACACACACGCACACCTCAGACATGCCCATCGCGGAAGCGATGATAGCGAACAGCTATGTTAGAGATAGCAACTTGTGCTGGGATTACACCATTCAACAGCTTGCAAGGCTGATGAATAGACCGCCACTATTTTTAGCCTGGTATCCACCACACAGCTGTTTGAAGTGACTTTTTCTGGATATGCACACACACACGCACACACACACACACACACACACACACACACACACACACACACACACACACACACACACACACACATACACACACACCACCGTGCATATAGTGGTTGCCCTACTAGCATTCTTACCAATGTCAGATGCCAGCAGCGGTTGCACAACTACACATTGCTGTTGAAGATCTCACCCGCAGTTTTCTCTTGCCAACACACCCTCAACTAGTGATCTACATAATATCATTATCTTGGCCGTTGTGTATTATCCATGAGGTCATTGTGTATTATCCATGAGGTCATTGTGTGCACATGCATGTTTCATTTCTACATTATCTTGTTTTCGTTCAACTCGAGTGCTGTTCTGCATTCCCTCTCATTACTGTGTGCATGGCCATCCACTGATTTCGCTTTCTAGCCCACGTTATGAACTCATGCTATACATGCCCTGCGCGCCTTGCCGCGGTGCCCTGGCACTTGCACTGTAGCTCATTTTGAGTCTTTTGACATCCTGGCAGTCTGGTGTAGGTCTTTTTAATTTTATCAATTTACGTTGTGCTTTCAGTAAATTCAGCTCTCTCAGTGACAACCTCTTACTATGCAGTGTAAATGATGATGACTCCCCACCCCACCCCAACACCACACCCCAACACACACACGAGACAAAATACCCGTGTAAAACCAGTGTGTTCGTCCCCGAAGGAACTCACGATAGCTGCCCGACGTAATCACGGAGTGCAGAATTCAGAATACAGAATTCAGAATACAGAATGCAGAATTCAGAATACAGAATGAAGAATGTAGAATTCAGAATAGAGTGCACAATGCAGAATTCTGAAAGCAGAATTCAGAATATAGATTTGCATAATTCAGAATACAGAATGAAGAATGTAGAATTCAGAATATAGAGTGCAGACTACAGAAAGCAGAATACAGAAAACAGAATGCAGGGTTCAGACCGTGATGGTTGATGCAAACACTGCACATCCTATGATGCACAGTGGCGGAAGCTGCCATCATGTGACATGCTGTGCAGTTCTATAAGAAATAGAGTAAACTCTCACCCGCCATGGGTAAATGCCATGTAAAGTGATGGGCCTATAGTTCTATGCATAACTGCATTTACGTCACAGTTTCTGTTGCTCGTGCAAATCTAACAGTTTCTGGCGCGCGTGAAAATGTAAATACTTCGAATACACGTCCATGCATGTTCACTGTTCAAGCACATTCATGATCAGTGTGGGAAGGGGAACACATGTCACGTGGTCAAATACTCTTTTAAAATGGATATGGCTCTGCTGAGAATGGGCATTGCTCAGTAGGAAGCGTTCCCAGCGTGCGCGTACCGCTCACTGGCCGTAACAAGGCATTCTATGTCCATGGTACCCAGAACTAATAGTCAAGAACTTGAAGAAGTCGTTCATACCGTGCGCTGAGTTGAGGGATCGTGAACATGAATATCGCATCAATGATGATATCTGAACTAAACGGAAGCGCGGCAGCTCCTGCTGCCACTAGCAATCACTCCGCCATGGCGGAGCGAGAAGATAAAGACAAAAAAACGTGAGCGCGATCGGCGTTCAATAGTGTTGAACGGAAAGTCCAACAACTGTTCGGTCAAGAACGTGAAATTCACGGTTCGCGTGAGACACGGCTAGAGGCCGAGTCTCTGCATCCGTAGGAACACCACCACCCTCCAAGGATCAAGGCGCAGATGCAGCTCCTAGAGCCATGGTACATGCTTTAAAAATTAACTTACATCTAATTTGACTAGTCCAATCACAGAAATAATGCTACTACTCACAATGCTACTACTCACAATGCTACTACTCACAATGCTACTACTCACAATGCTACTACTCACAATGCTACTACTCACAATGCTACTACTCACAATGCTACTACTCACAATGCTACTACTCACAATGCTACTACTCACAATGGCAATTGCGAAACAAAACATCTTTATTCACAGCATCATGCACACAAACAGTAAAGAAATTACCCACTGCGGTTGTGAGTTAAGGGACTTGGGTAACGTGCCACGTTCTTGCATCTGTGCGTCTGCAACAGAAAAGTAGAGAGCCAGCAGCAGCTGGACATGCAAAACAAGACGTGCACGCAAAACGCAATTGCATATACGCACACACATACACACAAAGAAGCAATCCAGAGTAAGAACAAAATTAATGCTCACACACACACACACTACTATAGTATGACTGCCCCATTGGCATAGGGCCACGTCACTCCATTGTGACAGGGAGCCAGGCCCAGAGTGAGGAAAGAGAGTCACACATATGCACACATACACACACCATGTACCATGTACCATGTAAACGCCCGTCGCAAGAGAAGCACGCAAATCTGCAAATGCACTGGATGTGCACCCACAGATACACACACACACACACACACACTACTACTACTATTGACAGCTGCCAGTAATGGCCACGCCGCTCCCCAAAGGGAGGTACTGTCAGAGAGGTTAGGGGAGAGGTAGGCAGTGCTTCAAATGGCGCTCCAGGTCCTGTCGCCTCCGAAACTGGCGTTGACTACAGACTCGGCAATGATGTTCAAAGTGCTGGCGATCAGTCACTGTAGGGCGCTTCGGGCGGGGTCCACAGCGATGGCGCTTGAGGCCAGCAGTAGACTTGAAAGTACGCTGGCAGGCAGTACACACAGGGACCTCGGCAACAGGAGGAGCATCAAAAGGCGGTGGGTCGTCACAGTTGTCACTCCCTAGGCACTTATGCACTGCAAGCCCACCCCTGCTCCGGAGCCATCTACTGAAGGCAGGACACTGCACCGACCCAGGCTGCTGTGATACGGGGAGCTGTCGGACTGCTGTGCACTTGTGCCGGGCCATGTCGGCGCGCCGACGAAACAGGCGGCCGCAAACGTGGCACACAATCGTCTTCGGGGCAGGCTCCTTCACCCCCGCTGCTGCCGACACTATGTCACGCCACTCTCCGCGATCGTTGGCTGATTGGAACCAATTGTGCACACCGGCCACAGTCAGATCAGCCTGGACAACGTCCTTCCAGCGATGTCGGGGGCCGCAAAACGGGCGGGTTCGTGGAAGATGAGCGAAGAGCAACTGCTTGGGTAACCGATTGTTATCAAGCCGAGCTAGGTGCCCAAGCCACTCCAAGCGTCTTCGCTGTACCATGCACGACAGTGGAGTAGGGTCACCCCACTGTGTGCGTAGTTGCTCCGATGTAATGTGCTGCTCCCACTGGCGGCCGCGCGAAATGCCAAGGATTGACCGTAGGTTGGCGTGATGGAACCTGTCCAGCTTGTCCAAGTCCGACTTCAATGGGGTCCAACACTCCGAGCCATACAAAACCGTGGTGAGAACACATACCACATACAAATGCCGTCGAGTAGGCAGGTTCAGGCTCTGATCATGCAAAATCCGCCGAAGACAGCCAAAGGCCCTGGCACCCTTCGCAAGGCGGCTCTGGACATCGGCATGAGCTCGCGAATCCGGAGTTATAACAGATCCAAGATAGGGGAAGGAGGTAACAGCTTCAACCCTTTCATTGCCAACTGCCAGATCGGAACAATCAGCGGCAGCGACTCCATAGCCCGCGACCAGTAGCTTAGTCTTCGTCATGCTGACCGTGAGGCCAAAGCTGGATGCCACATCGCAGAAGGCGGACAGGGACAGGTCGGCTGCAGCACGAGTTGTTGCGAGTAGGACGGCGTCATCGGCAAACTCAAAATCATCAGCATGACCAGTCTGAGACTGTCGACGTCGCCCAGCTGCACGGGGAAACAACTGTCCATTAATCAAGAAGCTGAAATCCACACCAGACTCGATGCCGCGCTCCCTGAGAACAGACCTCCACCGCTCCATCACCAATCCGAAATACAGGTTGAACAGCACAGGAGCCATGACACACCCCTGCCGTAAACCATTTTGTACAGAGATCGGATCGGTACAACCACCAGCAACACGAACAGACGCCGACATGTCCGTATGGAACGACTTCACGAGAGCCACAGCCTGAGGGGGGACACCGAGCCGAAGCAATGCCTGCCACAGAGCCTCACGAGGCACAGAGTCGTATGCTTTGCGGAGGTCCACAAAGACGCAAAACAGCTTCGATCTATGCTCATATGATTTCTCTACCAGTTGGCGGACAGAGAAGATGGCATCAGCACAACCACGGTTTCGCCGGAACCCACACTGCGACTCCGGTAGCTCATCCTCAGCGAGCACTTGCAGCCGATTCTGCACGACCCTAGCAACTAGCTTCCCCACAACCTCCAGCAACGCAATTCCTCGCCAGTTGTCGCAGCGAGAAAGGTCACCCTTCTTAGGTATGGGGATGAGCACTGCATCACGCCAGTCCTGCGGTACGTAACCCTCCGACCAGACAGATTGAAGCAGGTCCAGAAGGAGTGGGTGGAGGACGGGCACACCAGCCTTCAATAGTTCAGGCACGATCTGCGACATGCCACCAGCCTTGCCGTTCTTCAGATGTCTCAGGGCATGGGTCAACTCCTCTCCCGACGGTGGCTGCGTTAGCGAGTGCATGATCTCCCGCTGGGGGATTTGCTGGAATACCTCTGCATCGTAAGTACTGCAGACATTCAAAACACACACACACACACACACACACACGCACAAACACACACAACAGAAAAATGCCAAAACTGATGTCAGAACAAAACAATAGTTGAATGGCTGTGTGTTCTCTATACATCTATTGCATGGTTCCATATCAGAGACAAAGAGAAAGAGAAATAGAAAGAGAGAGAGAGAGAGAGAGAGAGAGAGAGAGAGAGAGAGAGAGAGAGAGAGAGACAAAGAGAAAGAGAGAGAGAGAGAGAGAGAGAGAGAGAGAGAGAGAGAGAGAGAGAGAGAGAGAGAGAGAGAGAGAGAGAGAGAGAGAGAGAGAGAGAGAGAGAGAGAGAGAGAGAGAGAGAGAGAGAGAGAGAGAGAGAGAGAGAGAGAGAGAGAGAGAGAGAGAGAGAGAGAGAGAGAGAGAGAGAGAGAGAGAGAGAGAGAGAGAGAGAGAGAGAGAGAGAGAGAGAGAGAGAGAGAGAGAGAGAGAGAGAGAGAGAGAGAGAGAGAGAGAGAGAGAGAGAGAGAGAGAGAGAGAGAGAGAGAGAGAGAGAGAGAGAGAGAGAGAGAGAGAGAGAGAGAGAGAGAGAGAGAGAGGCTGGTCTCTGGAATGTCTGGATCGGGCGGTACTGTGGGTAGAACCATTGCGAGTTCTAGCCTTCTAGGGTAGTGAAGTCTACAGAAGATTTGGGAGATGAGGAGACTGCTGAGGGGTAGGCTTAGTGGATGGAAATGAGGACAACGCAAAATGCACGAAAAGGGTACTACAATGATTCTGTCATGTACTTGCTTGTGCTACTCAGTTCTGGAACTATTACAAGTAGTGGGTCTCTGCCAACCGCGGAAAGTTGTAGTAAGGTCACTCTTTCCGAACACAGTGTCCTCCACCTTGTTTCATGCTGTCAATCTAACAATTGCGTGAACTATAACAAGGTTTATCTAACACTGGTTTTTAACCAGTGTTAGGGTATAATTCAGTGCTGCCAAATAACTTAAAAAAGTTTTCGCCTAAAATCGGACACCCTTCACCGCCAACCTGGAAAGTGCAAGGCTGGCCACATGGTGCGAATTTTTCTCCTCGGCAATTTTTTTACAGAGAATTCATAATATCGCCTAAAACACCATGAAAAAATTCGCTTTGTTGCCATGGTAACCCCAGAGCTGTCATGAATTTTGTAATGATGAGTGTGGTCGCACACTGACTCTGTACAGACTGGCAGTGTACATGCCATCCAGCCTGATCCAGGCATGTTACTTTGCACTTCCACAGCCAAGCGCTAGCCTTTTTAGAAGCAAATGTACAGTGATTTGTGCCTTCAGTTGCGCTGAAAAGTGAAAGTACAGTACAGGACTTCTGCATAGGAAAGTAATGATCTCTGACATTTTGGCTGCTTTTCGGACGTTTCCCTTTTCGGACCGGTTTTCGGAAGAGCCTTCAAAATCGGACACTGTCCGAAAAATCGGACGGTTTGGCAGCACTGGTACTATTACTGTATTAAATAAATAAGTAATATCATACCAAGTCCCTACTACTAGTTGTAGAAGCCGATGTGTCCTGATTCTGATTCTGAGGCAATCCTGCATAGCACTTATTAGCAGTCCAGTACCCGTAGCTTGTACAAGTACTTGTAAGTTGTAAGTCACTAGGTGTACATAACACCATTGTTCAGGTTGCACTCTTTGCTCCTCACCTCAGTCCTGCCGCGCGCGCCATGGACACTGACACTCCTGGCGCGAAATCCACTTTTAACCCTTTGGCGGTCTAACTCAATGTATGTGAGGGGTGGTCACGCAAATACATGTACACACAACCAGCAATACCTCAAGAACCATGTGATGTAGGTATGGGTAAACCATATATTTTCAAAATATGTATGCCTGAACGCGTCCAGAAAATTCAAATATGACTAGGTCCAGACAAAGATAGGGCCCATGGTAGCCCTTCAAGTTGAGAGAAATACAATTGCGAATGAAATACACAAATATCACAGCACGAAGGACATACCAAGTTTGTGATGGAGCTGAAGTCGTACGATAAACAATCAGGTAAGGGCTACGTCTTTACAAGAAATGTAGGCTCTCTACAATACCGCCATTGAACACCAACAACTCGCCATCGGCGATACGCCAGCAGCAGCAATTCCCATTCCACTATATCGCAGTTTCGGTTTGTTCATCTCAGCGCTGCTCGCGTCAGATTCACTCTCGCTCAGATGAGCACTCAGGCGCGAGCTTACGCATGCCGTGATTCTCGCGGCCAGGCGAATCAGCTGATCGCACATGACGAGTCCTTGTGACAGTCGCTGTCGCCGTGTCGGCAGCAAGAAGGCTTCCTCTCCGTTTGGAGAATTTTGTTTCTTCATTCGTGGACGATATATTTTTGAACTAGCAGGACTTAACAGAGCTCTTTTTCTCAACACACTACACTGCAAAACCTCCCGGGGCATCCAGCCTGGACTGGTGATGTTACTGCTCTCAGAACGCTTGTCAAACACGGCCCCAAGAGATGCACTCGCATTCTTGAAATGCGCGCATGGCGGATGGTCGTCTTTTCCAATTTCAACCAACTTCAGTTGATCGATACGGCAAAAATTTGTATGGTAAGCATGGTTCTTTTGCACATCGTCAGAAAGCCTTGGACCTCAGCTACGCGTAGAGCGGCATTTTAGCTGTCTCCTAGCAACAAGACCCCAAAAAAGAGGGCCAAACGTACCGATACTATAGTATCGGTACGCTTATGGTAGACCGGTAAAGGGTTAAAGGGGAACTACACCCAAAAATCAAAACTTCATGGTCCGTAGAGTTTTGGACGCTGAGTCGAATGGTGAAGGTCCCACTTCGATCCGACCAAGCGTTCTTGAGATATATCAGTTTGCAATTGTCCTTTTCGGGTCCGTGCCGTGACGTCACAAACCCGTGACGTCATTGAGACTTGGTGATCCTTTGGCCAGATCCAGAAACACTGGGATTTCGCATCTTCTTTCTGTTTGTCCATGGAAGAAGAGGGTATTTGTGTCATCATGGCGTCTGGCTGTGTTGTTGGCTACTATAATCTTACTGGCAACCCCCCTGGGATGAACCTGCACCAATTTCTGAAGGATTGTGCTTGGCACAGGCCGAGCAGTGCACCATAGCAGCTATCAAGCGACATAATTATTTGCTTGACAATTTAGGGACTACAATGTAAATCCTTCGCGTGTGTTCCAGCCATTTGGCAGAGGAGGATTTTCAGGAGGAATATTATGCACTCATCCGATGCGGACGCTGGTGGATGAAACTGTGGTGCGTCCTTTTTCGCACGCCACACTGTAAAGTGTCAGTCGAAAAGCGGAGGTGAGTGCAATATTTCAAAAACACTAGCTACTGTATGTAGTTCTTTCTTTTCCAAAGCATTTGTAGAATTGTTTTGGACTACATCACTACGAAATGTGAAGCTTTCCGAAACCGGCCTGATGAGGTGGACGGCAGTAGATCTCCTGTTTCCCTAGCCTATACTGCGTGCGATCGATGAACCTGTCTGCGATTGCTGTTTTTGATTTTACAGGAAGAAGATCAAGAGCGGCTGTACCATCGGTCGCAGTGACTCACTGTTGAGCTACGACCACTGCCACCGCCCCAAGGTTATAGGAAGGACTGTTTGCAGCGCCAGCGCCTCTAGCTGGCATGTTTTTTTCCTGTATGAACACGCAGTATGTACTGCTGATAAGCTACATCACGCAATGACCCGCAGTTCAAGGAGAGAAGATAGTCCACATACCAGCAACGGTGTACACCTATTCGGGAACTCGTTGGGTTTTCTCAGTATGGATGCAGATGAGAGCCAGACATTATTATTGTGTGTATGCGTGCAAGCGCGTGAGTGTGTGTGTGCGCGCGCGCACGCGCGTGAGTGTGCGCGCACGAGCGTGAGTGTGTGCGTGCGCGCGCCCGTGAGTGTGTGTGCGCGCACGTGAGTGTGTTTGCGCGCACGCGCGTGAGAGACAGACATTATTATTATTGTGTGTGTGGGTGCACGCGCGTGAGTGTGTGGGTGCGCGCGCACGCGCGTAACACTGAGTGTGTGTGCGCGCGCATGCGCGTGAGTGTGTGTGCACGCACTTGCGTGAGTGTGTGTGTGTGCGTGCACATGCGTGTGCTTTTGTTTAATGTAATATAACATTCCAAAGATATTCACGTCATCTATTCTGTGTTCTCCTTTATGTCATTCTCTCCCCATTTGCGGGAGGGACATGGAATGACAAGTAGTAGATGCATTGCCGTTAGTGATCCTGAGGGATGTGGGGGTATGCAACCAAGTGCATGAGTGCGCGCATGTGTGCGTGCACGAGCATGTGCACAGGCACTTGTATGTTTATGCACTCGTGTGCGCACGCGCTTGTGAAATTGCGTGTCTGCGTGCGTGAGCATGTGTGACTACTATACTATGTGCCCACCAAGGTGAGCACATGTGCGTGCGTGTGTGTGGGGCGCAGGCGGATATGTGCACACATTTTAGAATGATAATCAAGAAGGACAGAGCTGTTCCGGTAATGCAGTCATGAGACACCACAGTAGGGCAAAACGCACTCAATATGCTACTGTGCTGCTGCTGCTGCTAGAGTGCACAGCGTAATTGTTGGTACACAGCTACGTGAAATACAAGAGAACGTCTCAGCATTCTGTAAAGACTAAGTGATAATGCAAAAGGTGAGAATGTATTTCGCCACAATACGAATTGAGTGCAGTCCACTTATGTGAGATAAAGCACAAGTGAACCGATACACATTGCACGAATTGCACGGAGATAATGCTAGCCATGTTACGCAGCAAACTCCATGTACAGGAGTACGAGTGAGGAGACTATTGATCTGAGTACTGTGCGAATACAAAATTTCACACAATTTACGATATGAAGAGAACGATTCGATTTGTGAGCATTACGTAGGACTATACTGTGAAAACACTTACGGATTGTCAGGGTTGTCTGAGCTGCTTTGGCTGCCGCTTCATTTCGAAATAGCCCAGCCAACCGGTTGCCAGATGTTGCTGATGGAGAGCGACTTCTCCAATTGCAGTAATTTCTGCTTCATCCACATTTACAGCCCGAATGGAAGCCACCGCTTGCGCTGCCATATCCTTTCCTGAAAATTTCGGCTCATGCCCGAAGCCAAACATTTTCAGCTCAGGCTCTGAGCTTTCAAGCTCGTCTGATACGTCGGAATCGCTCATGGTGAGGACGTCTTTGTCAGAACTATTCCTTTCACATACCAAAATACCTGTACTTCTGAGCTTGGCCCAGGCAAGCAAGTCTCAATGACGTAGAAGGGCGTATTGGGGGTGTGTCGCGGCCGCATGACGTCATGGCGCGTCCCCCGAAAGTACAATTTAAACCGAAGATATCTCAGGAACTCTTGGTCAGATCGAAGTGGGACCTTCACCATTCGACTCAGCGTCCAAAACTCTACGGACCATGAAGTTTTGATTTTTGGGTGTAGTTGAGCAGCATGATGTGAATAATGTCAAAATGGTGACGAGGCTGTCCAATGCGCTTGCATCTGAGCTGAGCGATCCTTCCTTGCATGATGATTGTGATATCTGATCTGCTGAGCGAATCCGCCATGCATGCTGCATGAGGCTGTCACATGGCGCTTGACCGGAGGTTTCGGTCTCTTCGAAACTATAATTTATTAGTATTAAACTCCTTTGCTGGCATGGCGCCATGGCTCTGTCACGCGTGCACGGGTACGGGTACGTAGTTCGACTAGTTCCTGCATGCACTGATCTGACGCATGTTGCACTCCGCATCCGGAGCTCCGTCGCGCGTCCCATCTCATCATCCGACTCACGCATGCATGCCATGCCCAACGAAACAGATGATGCATTGATGGGATCGCGATATCGACGCTCCAGCACGGCAGCAGCGATAGCGCAAGCGGACCACGATGTGTACTCTACACTGTACTCTATCAGTCCATGTAATGAGCCTATGCCGTCGCCATCCAGCGACGGTCGTCCACTGTCTGTCGAGTGTCGTACTATCTACTGACTCTGTACGTCTGTGCCTCGGCCAGGTGCCCCGGGGTCACCTGATCACCACACACACACACACTCGCTGCCTCAAAAATTATCCCCTCCCGCGGCCCGACAGAGCAATCTACATAATCTACTACTACTACTAGCACATCACTACCAAACTCCAAAGACGAAGCGCAGTTCTGTAAAGCGAGAGTTTCGTTTGCTCGTGATCGAAAGTAGCTCTAGTTTCTCGCTAGAGGCAGATGCGGCAGTTGTTGTTTGATTTTATTAGCCAGCAACGTTTCTTTTCCATGTATACGGGATTCCGAGAGGTCATTCATTTTTGGATAATCTTCCACCACCCATAGAGTCCCGGATTCGAGTGGGCAGCGAGCTAGTAAGTAGTTGAACGGGACAAATCACAGTACATGTACGTCTGTCTCTCTCCGCAAACAAGTCTTCTTCGATCGAGCGCCCACACTGATTGGAGCAAGCACAGTTGGGTGCCGCGGCTATTCCGTTGAGCAGCTCTGTCAGCGAAGAAAGGAAAACATTCCCGTGACACTAGCCCGGAGGATCCAGTCATAGCCTGTTCACACTGTCCGCGCCAGTTCTGGGCAGTGGCACTAGATCAGCTACCACCCGTATACTAGTATACCTACCCTACTCTTCACTTGAGCGTGGATGACCGGTCGATCGCTCCTCTTCGTGGGACGATCAGCACGACTCACTCTCGTAGATCTACTGACCGCGATCAGCAGCGTGAGGCAGTAGATGACTGGATCGCTAGCGGGTGAACACGCATTGTCAGGTCACCGTGCTCACTCATAACTGCATCAGCCAAGTAAGGACAACTATTTTTTATACTTTTTTTCGTGCCTTGCTTCTAGGCTGGGAAGTACTAGTAGTACAGTTGAACATCGATTATCCGACCACCTCTGGGCAGACAACTGTCAGGTGGTGTTCAGATAAGGCAAATGTTCCGGATAAGAAAACACACTGTAAATACATGTACATGTACATTGTAAATAGAATAGAGTGCTACTTTTCAAAATTTTCGTATTTTTTGAATGGCTCACTACATGCACAGTGCGTACTAGACTCTACGGCACGTGCACCCAAAAAAACTGTTACGGATAGTCGATGTGCGGATAATCGATGTTCAACTGTACACGATTGCAGTCACCCTACTGTAACATAATCATTTAGCGCCGAAGACGAGCAGCCGAAGTACACCCAAGCTAGAAAGGCATGCATGTGATTGACTTGCTTGTTTGGATGTTCTTTGGCTGATGTAGGAAGGCAACTCAATCCACTTTAGAGGTTAATATTATTTTTAATACTAGTAGACTGTTCTAGAGAAGAAGTGCTGTTTTTTCTGTTGCTCTTTAGCTTGCATGGACGCCAGACATGAATTCCTAATGGGAAATACTGGTGCATTTTGGTGTACGAACAGCCAGTTGAAAGTACTGAAAGTAGAACAATGCAATTTTCCGAATGTGGCGCCATACACACAGCATCGACCTTCCTCCTCCTTCCTAAATCCTTTCTTTTTAAAGGTAGCAGCCTGGATGTAAATTTCATATGGCATTCAATTGACCATAACTTTGGTGTCTCTCAATGGATTTGAGTGAAATTTTCACCACACACTCCTGGCACTATGCTGGCCCTCTGGTCATTATTTCAAAGTTCTTGCGCCTCACTGACAGGCTGTCCAGGCCGGAAAAACTCAAAATTCCGGCATAGTGCCACGGTGTGCGAGTCACCCAAGAGTCAAATTAATGCATTTACAATTTTTCACATTTTCTTGCCCATTCTGTCCGTGCGCGGGATCCAAACCTAAAATAAGTCCACAAGCAGCCATGGGTGGTGGCATAGGCCCCCTCAACGTGGCCCTGGAATCTGTCACAAGGGCACGAGTGGGCGTTGTCTCACAGATTCCCACAGACGCAAGTCAATTTTTGATTTTTTTAGGTTTAGGGCGTGCTACGAGGTCGTACCTTTGATACAACATCCAGTGCTGGGACGTCCACAGCAAGCCATTTCCACAGCGGTGCAAGCCGAATCCAGGATACCCTCAAAAATCTGCAAAGACTACCACTCACGTTCCACTACTGCCTAGTACTGAATCCTACCTGACTTCTTGACACGACTCAAACTTGCCAGTCACTAAATCAACGTCAACTACAGTAATCAAGCCACATATCTGCAACGTCATGAGGGTGCTGGCAAAAGTCCTGCTGCGCGGCGGCGGGCAAAGCCCGCCGCCGTGCAGCCCAATACGTGGCTAAAAAACGTGATTTTTGGACTTGGAGCAAAATTCTGCACACTTTCGCGTGTTTCCATGATACGACAAGTTGCGCACGGTCTGCTCACATTCAAATACAGTGCTGCCAACAAATGACAGCGTACAACAAATAGATCTTTCCTTGCAAGGGCACATTTTCGGCCATAACTCTTGAACGGCTGGTCAGATCGAGACAAGATTTTCAGAGATTTTGCAGCTATTCATGCTCTTTCAACTGATGTAGCACTCGATATGAATTTACAAATTCCATTTTTCAGGGATTTTACAACCAGGCTGCCCCCTTAACCCTTTCCGTGCTAATGACGTCTATAGACGTCATGCGCGCTGTATGCCAAACGACTAATGACGTCTATAGACGTCAGGAGATTTGCATAGTACAGCGCAGTGCATAACCGTTAGATCAGTGTACAAACTTTCGTAACTCCGTCAATAATAAGTCTATCACGACAATCGATACACAGTTCGTTTGAAAGGTATTGAGCTCAACTTTCCAGCGATATAAAGCTCTTTGCGATAGGAGAAAGATTGACGGAGCGGCGATGGTGTGAACACGAAATTCACGGCACTTAGCGATCGTGAATTTTTTTGTTCATGCGTTCGCAGTTTTCTGTTGTTTGCCAGGGGATTTCCCTTTGGCACAGCGCATGCGTAATGGACACCAGCGGAAACACGTGGATCTCAGCTTTGCAGCACAGTTTGAATCGTGAAAATCAGCTGACCTGGAGCAAAAAACTAAAAAAGAATGTGAGATCGAGTTCCTGTGCCTTTCCGAGGCATCGTGAGGTAGCTTCAAGAAGACGTAGAAGTTGCACCGCTGTGCATATTGAGTTGAGAGCTACCAGGATGGATTCGCTTGGTCCTGATCTTTCCAACAAGCCCAGGGTTATGAAAATCCATCAAGGTCAACTGAATTGAGAGAAAAATTCGCTCGGGCCTGTGCGCGAAAACGACACCAGGAAAG